TCTTGACGCCAAAGTACGACCGAATGTCGCCGATCGGCTGCAGTAGCGACCACTTCCAGCGCGCCCACAGCTCGCGCTTGGCGTGCTCGTCGTGCAGCGGAAAGTGGCCCTTGATCGCCCCCGAGAGCACAAGCCGCTCCAAGTTGAGCCCCGCGCCGGTTTCCGAGTCGGTGATGATGCTCTCGAGCAGCGTGATGCGCTGCGTGCTGCTAAAGAGCTGCGGCGGCGCGCTCGCAGAGGTTATTGCCGGGTACTGCATGTACCAGTGCTGCAGCTCGTCCTTTGCCTGGTACGACATGTGCATGTACTCGTACGGCGCGTACCGGAAGCGCTTGGCGAGGCTCCGGAACGCCGGGTTGGGGTTCTCGACGTGGAAGGGCTGGATGTCGATGAGCGGATTCGCAATCGTCGCCTCCAAAAGCCCAGTGATGAGCGTCGGCATTGGCAGCAGCGCGTCCGGCGTCGTCGCGAGCGGCGTCATCTCGGCGCGGAGCTCGTTGGCGTCGGCAGCAATGTCTTGGATCGTCGCGAGGAAGATGGCGAGCTCGGAGTTGAGCCACACGCTCGGGTTGGTGTACGGCAGCTCCTTGCCGTACCGGAGGTGGTCGCTGAGACTCGAGAGCTCAGGCAGCGGCAAGCTCAGCTGCAACAGGTGCTCCATCTCGGCCAAAAGCGGCTGCAGCTCGCCGTAGACGGTGGTGAGGTGCGTCATGGTCGTACGGAGCTCCTTCTCGACGGCCTCGGTCTCGGCGCGCTCGGCCTTGTCCATGTTCCACTTGGGCTTGGTGATGATCGGAAGGAGCGTGAGCTGGATGCCGAGCTCCCGTGCGGCTTGCGTCAATGTCACCGACATGTTGTGCAGCACGTACGGCACGTCCTGGAGGACCCCCTCCATGTTCGGGTCCATCGAGAGATGCACGAGCGCCTCGAGCGCCTCCTTGTGTCCTTCGAGCGTCTCGGTCGCGGCCTGGCGCTTGGTGAACTGCGTGTTTTCAATCTTGAAGTGCTGGAACCCGACCTTGATCGCCTTGTCCATATTAGCCATCGCACCCACGACGATGTTGAGCTCGAGCAGCAGCTGCGACCACGACTCGATCGGCCGCGCCACGTCCGCATGCTTGCGCGTCGCGAGTTTCTTGAGCGAGAGCATCTCGGCGAGGAGCTTCCCGACGTGGATCGTGTCGATCTCGGCCTCCAAACCCGAAATGTGCTTGGCGAGGCGGCCCCAGACTGTGCGCACGACGCCGGCGCGGGCCTGCGCTTCCATCTCGTGCGCATTGAGCAGCATCGGCATCTTGATGCGGTCGGCTTCGATCTCGAGGCGCTGCCGGCTCGCGCGGACCTTGCAGAGCACCATGGACGGGATGTACGAGCTCACGATCGCGGCCGAGTCGAAGAACTGCACTTGGAGCCCGGCTTTATGAAGCTTGAGCAGCATGTCGCGCATCGAGAGCGTCGACTCGATCTTGCCCGTGAGCGGGTGGAGCTTGGGCGGGCGGCGCACCTCGGGGTTGGGGAACACGATCGCATAGTCCCAGCCGTACCCGTCCTGCTCTTCGAGATCTTCTTGACTGCCACTGAAGATGATGGCGTGCATCGCCTTGTCCCAGCGGTACCCCAAATGAAGGACCTTGGAGACGTAGTACTCTTGGCGCTCGAGCTGGACGCGCACGCGCGACGGAATGTCGTTGATGCAAAAGCCAAAGATGGACGAGAGCGCGTAGAGACCGAGGAAGAGGAGCCCGATGCAGATCCAGCGCGCTTGCACAAAGTACATTTCCGGCTGGTGGAACGTGTCGAGCGCCGCTTGCGCGAGCTTGGCCTTGGCGACGATCGCCCAAGCATTCGTACCAATCGCAAGCGTACACAGCAGCTCGAGGAAGAAGGTCCAAAGCCGAATCTGCTGCGCCGAGCGCGGGCTCGGCCGCCGGAAGAGCGTCGTGAGGTGCACGCCGTGCGCGCGGATCGCGACGATGTTGTGGACGCACGCCATGAGCGGGAGGTACGGGCACGAGACGACAAAGAGCGTTGCATAGCCAAATTGCACAACCATGTGAAAGTAGTCGTTGAAGAGACCCTTCCAGCCATAATCGCGCAGCTGGAACTGGACTTCGACCGGCAGCCGCTTGGTCGGGAGGCTCACCGAGCCGGAAATCGGGAGTGCCTCAAGGTCGTCGTTGACACTCGAGCCGTTGAAGAGCGAGTTCAAATGGCGGCGGGCTTGCCAGCGCTTCTTTGTCTTGCAAAAGAGGTGCCGGCCGTACGGAAGGAGCACGATCCAAACGTTGTGGACCACGAGCTGCGCGCCGTAGAGGTACAGCATGTACGTCTTGAGCTCCGCGACAGCCTCAATGTCCGGTCCCGCGTACTGCATGCGGACGCCTTCGACGTGCGTCTTGACAAAGGCGACGTACACCGGCCCGGCAAAGTGGTTGACAAAGTGGAAGAACATGGCCTTGAGAATGTACGCTTGCTGCGCGGTCGCCTCGGCGTGGTAGACCTCGTAGTCGTTGAGCGTCATGTGCAGCTTGTTGAAGACATATGTCCAGAGGTAGATCGAGACGACGTTGAGGAGCGCGACGAGGTGGAGCTCGCCGCGGAACGCAATCTCAAGCGTGTAGTTGCCCGAGACGTGCCACGCGGCGGTGGCCGGCGCTAGCTCGGCCTGGTACCGGAGGTAGAAGAGCCCGCCGACGCTTGCCATGACGCACGCAACGAGCACCAAGAGCACGCACATGGAGAACACGCGGCGGAAGATGAGCGACGACGTCGACCCCTTTGGAACGTGCCAGTTGCGCTCGTCGTCGAACGACGGCTTGTCGTGCTCGGGCGCGTGGTAGTCGGCCATGCCCCACTTCATGCCGAGCACGGCAAGCTTGCGCTTCCACATTTTGAGAAAGAGCGTCGACCAGCACACCATGAAGAGGCCAAAGAGCGGGACCAGCGGCGTCTTGCCCATGAAGAGGAAGCAGAGCCCAAAGACGGACGGCAGAAGGAGCCAGCGGGTCATGTGCGCCACGTACGCGAGGAAGAGAGCGACTTGGCATCCAAAGTACTCGCGCGTCATCTCAATCGGCTGGTGCGTGAGCCAGAGCGACGAGTTCCACATGTCGCGGATCTCACGGCGCGCGTCGTCTTCATGGAGCGGGTACGCGGCGGCGATCGACTTGGTCTTGAGCAGCAGCTCGAGGTCCAAGCCGGCGCCGAGCGGGCTCGTCATGATGCTTTCGAGGAGCCGGATGCGCTTCGTGGTCGGGAAGAGCGGTGAGCCGTAGAGACACTGGATGTTGTCCTGCGGGTGGTAGTGCATATGAATGAACTGATACGGCTTGTACTTGAACTTGCGCAGAAGCAGCGTCATGCGGTCGACCCACGAGTTGCCATTGTTGTGCGACGGGTTGCGCGCTTCGCCCGTCTCTTCGGCCGCCAAGTCCTCGAGCTCGCCTGCGTCAAAGAGGTCGAACACGTCGACGTCCTGCCCGGGCTCGTACCGCACCTTCTTGAACGTCCGGCGCGAACTCGACCGCTTGCTCTCGGCAGGCAGCGGCTCGAAGCCCTCGCGCTGCATCTCGGCGATGCGGTCTTCCGGGCTCTCGATGTGGAAGCGCACTTCGCCCTGCTTGGCCATGCGCTCGAGCTGGTTCTCGACGAGCGGCAGCGCCATGTGCACGCGAGCCGCCTCGGCCTTGAGGCGGTCGAGCGTCGCGCGGATCTTGCAGTACACGTAGGGCGGCACGTACTTGGTCGTTGCGGCTGTCGAAGCGGGCGGCGGCGTCGACTTGGAGAGCTGCGTGTCGAGGCCGGCCTGGCGCAGCTTGGTGAGCACGTCGCTCATGCTCATGACGCCGGCGCGCGCGCTCCCGCTCGCGGGACTCGGTGGCGTCTCGCCGTTGAGGGGCATGCGCAGCTCGGGGTTGGGAAACACAATGACGTAGTCCCACTCGGGCGACTGGCTGCGGTATGATGGCGGCAGCGACCGCATCTCGGGCGCCGCCGCGTCGTACGTGGTGCTGGCGCCGTTCACACCGCCTTGGCTCGACTCGTTGCGCGGGAGGCTCTTCATCGTGTGCTCGTGCAGCATCGAGTCGTCGATGGACGACGGCGGCCCGTACTCGCTGTCCTCGCTAATGGGCGCCGAGAGGAAGCGCTTGAACTCGGGAATGTCGGACGTGGCCGCGCGGGTAACGAGGCTCGGCTTGGCCATGTTGGGCACGGACGAGTACTTGGAGAGCTTCGGCCGCGGCGCCGGCGGCTTGGCGACGTCCCCGACCAGCGGCGTCGACTCCATGGCGCAAGCAGAGAGCGGGTTGTGACAGTCGACGAGTGGCCTCGCCTCGTATCCGGACGCCACTCAGGCATGGTATCCGGATATATCGTCCTTCGGCGTCCCAGGAGCACCAACGTGGCGCTGGACACCACCCATCGGTGGCCGCCACCGCCTGCGACGACAACGACGTCGGTAGACGCAGCGCGAGCATGGACCGACAGGCGGCGCGAGGCCATGGAGCGATGCATACACCTGCGTGGCTATGGCCGAGGGGTGCGGGCTCGTCCATGTCACTGCGATGTGCGACACGCCCGACCAGCTCCTCGGCCGCTCTTTGCTACCCGGTACAAGAACCGACGACCACCGCAGGCGCCGCTTGGACTCTATGGTAGGCGATGAGCGTGTAAATCAACTTCGCCCAGCCCACTCCGCACCACGGCCGCTCCCTCGACGCAGCGCAGGGTGATCGGCTTTCTCGCTTGGCAGAGGATCGCAACGAGTTTGCACTTGGTACATTGCTGCTTGGTGACCGCGTCCTGCATTGCAGAGGCAGCCACGGCGTCGGCTGTCCATTGCGTCGTGTTGAGGCCGATGCGAGGACGGGGCTGTGCACCCAATGCAAGCCAGCTCGTCGTTTGCGAATACTACGGCGGTGGCACATGGCGTCGTTGTACTAGTACCTCGGCTTCGCCGACGTCCACTGGCTCGTACGAGCAACGTTTCGCAGAGCTCCATGCTGTTAGGCCTGCAGTACGCTGATGGAAGTTGAAGGATGCTGCACCAAGTGTTTCTTCGTCACGTACTGTACACGTGGTAGCGCTCGGTCGCGTCCCGAGGCCTGCAGATGTCGTCGCACGACGTGGGCAAGAGCCAACCTGGTTGGTGGTGTGCTTACATCAACGATGCACGGCTTCTAGGCTCCAGTCGGTGCTGCAGCTATGCGTAAGACTACGGTCCTCTGTCAAGGATGCTCGAACCGACCGCGTCCAGGCGCCAACGCTTGCGACCATCGACAGCCTCGAGAAGCCGGCAACATTCGTTCTTAGTACAGACGCCGACGGCGGCTAGGGCGCGGCGACGAGCTACGCGACGGCTCATTGAACGAAGACGGAGGGTCGGACCGGTCGTCGGACGATCGGTTCGACTCGTCGTCGCTCGGCTCGGCCGGCGCCGACACGGGTCCGATGCGCACGTGGTCGGCGCCTCGCGCAACCCGGTCATAGTAGCTCAGGAGCCGCGCTCGGGCGGCTTGCATGTTGCGATGGCGGTCGTAGAACGCACGCAGCGCCTTCTCCACGGCGCTGGGCGCGTCCGACTCGAAACTGTGCTCGCGCAGAAGGACCCAGTTGTCTTCGGCCAGCACCACTAGCATCATCCCGTCATAAAGAGAATGCAGCAGAGGGGACACGTACCGCCGCAGATCTTGCCAGAGCCGCGCACCGCGCCACGCTCATACGCCTCGAGGAGCCAGTCGGGCGTCGATCGGTACATGAGCCCGGCGCTGTCGAGGACAAAGATACCGTCGACGCTGTATCTGTGCGGACGGAACCCGAGCGAAATCAGGCGGTGCCCACTGCAGAGCCGGTCGTGATAGGCGTCGGGCACCTTCTCCGAGGCGGCGGTGCCGCTGGGGAAGGCCATGAGAAAGGCGCCGTCGCTTCCAAACGCCACCGTCGCGTTCGGGGCCATTTGCGACTGGAAGAACGCTGAGGTGTGCTTGGACCAGCAGTGCGCGCCGCTACCGTCGGGCTTGGCGCCGCTCACGTACCACTCGCCGTTCGGGCCGAGCGCCGCGTGCGTCACGTGCCGGCCTTTTGTGATGCAGTTGTCGATCTGGCGGTCCATGTCATCCGGCAGGTGGCGTAGAATGCGCTGCGCGTACGAACCGTCCCACTGGGCTTCGTTGAGCACGAGGAGGTAGTACTCACCTTGCAGTAGCACCAGTGCTTTCTGACCGGCGGGCTCGGTCGCGAGCCGCGGGGGTCGGGAGGTGTACAGGTCGCTTTGTGGCACCGTGAGCCAGCCTTTCGCCACATGCACATGCACCATGTTGCGAGCGTCGTCGATGGCGTAGCTCTCGCAGGCGAGAACCGCACGCGCTGTCATTGTCTCGACGATCCCGCCCACGCGCGCCAAGGCATTTGTCGACACCTTTGTCGTTTCTTCAAGTTTGAAGATGTACCGACCCGTGGTCAGTGGAAGCTGCCGCAGCTGCGCCAGACGCACCCACTTGGTTGTGCGCTCGAGCCGAGCAAACGCCTGCCCGCTCGCTGGAGTGACGACGAGGTCGGTCGAAACGACCGTGCCGGCTGCGAGAACGTCGCCAACGGTACTCGCAGCCGGCTGCGCCGAGACGCGCGTCGGCTGCAGCACCTTGTACACCCTGACGCCGCGCACGGCGTCGAGGCGTGTGGCCATGACCACGCCATGGCGCGCCTCGTAAATGTACCGCGGTTCGCCGCTGCCAAAGCCTTGCAGCCGCAAAAAGACTATGTTGTCTTCGCCATATTCGCGCCGGTTGGCGATGACCAGCTGCCCCGGCGGCAAGATTTGAGGCGCGCCGGTCGGCAGCATCGCGCGCTCCGTGTACGCTGGAATGCGCGGCTGCAAGCACAAGTGGATCGGCTCGAGAAGCTGGTAGACAAAGTAGCCGTCTTCCGGCAGCGCTTCGTGGCGGGTGGACGACCGCGGAAGGCTAGTGCTCGCTTGGCGCGTTGTGCCGCTTTGCGAGCGGGCTTCCTGGATGGCTTGCTTGAGCGTGTGGTTGGGCACGACGGCGGCGGACGCCACGCGCTGGTTGGTGACCGGGCTCGTCAGCCGCTGCTGGAACCAGCGAGTTATCTCGCTGCGCTCGTACGAGTGGCCGTCGACCGCCAGCACGGGGTCGCGCATGACGTCGCGCGAAATGGGGCAGACGAACGACGTCAGGTGCATTGCCCCAACTGCAATCTCGCCACCTGCGGATATTATGCGTATGCGTTTTCAGAGGTTTTATCCTTGCCAACTCGAGTGACGCGTGGCGCGCCTCCATGCGAGCGCTATCCTGTGCCCACGCAGGCTTTGGGATGTATCCGCACCTTCTACGAGACCTTCGATTTGCAAGTACTGCTGTTCAAACCATGCGGCGGATCTTTTGGCCAGCTGCTCTGACAGCATGCCACGTCATGGTCGCCGAATGTGACGAGGTCGGTTTGCTTGGGTATCGGTGCAGAATGGATCGCGCCCCAACCGGCGGCAACAAGCCACCGTGGGCCAAGAGCTCTCTTCTCGACTCCGCTGCCGCTTCAACCGACGCCCGTGGCGCACCGGTCGAAGAAATACGGTAGCGACTAAAGATAGCCACCGAGCGGACACTGCTCATTGAACCTTTTACCCAAATGGACGGAGACGATTCTCTCGAAATCCTTCGCGGAAAGCTTGTCGCGGGCCATCGGCGCGGCCATTCGATCGTCGTTGGCGGCGCCCACGAGCGCCAGAAACTGCAGAAGGAGCACGAGGTGCGCTTCCGGTGGTGCTGCTCGTGCGACGGTCTAGACGGGTAGGTGCAACGCCTGCAGAGCGTGCTGGAGAAGCAGACCAAGGCGCTCGAAGAGTCCCAAGAAGAAACGCAGCTGGCCGCGCGCATTGGCCAATCCCTCTTGCGTCAGAACCAGCAACTCGACTACGAGATGGAAGATCGCGTCGGCAGTGTGCGTCTTCGTACGCCGTATGTGCGTGCTTTACACCTACGTAGCTCACGCAGCGCTGCGAAGATGCCGAGGCCCATGTCAAGGTACTCCCCTCTTCGAAACTTGTATTTTGTACCTTCGCACTAGAGCCTGAGCGCCAAAGTCGCCGAACTTTCGGCCAAGTACCGCGTCCTGGACCTCCAGCATGCCAAGGTCCTACACGACCAGAGCGCGGCAGACGCCGACGGCGCTACTGCAAGGTTCACATATCACGATTTGAATCAAGATGGACGCATAAAGCTGCCATAGATGTGTGGCCAAGACCCTTCGCGACGAGTTGGCGTCGGCCAAGGACGACGCTCGCTTCCTGCGACGCGCGCAAGACGACTTGCTCACCGAAATTGCGGGGCTTCGCGAGCGCAATATCGCCCTTGTGGCCGAGACCAAGCAGCTTCACGCCGAAAACACAGCACTTCAGCGGCACTGCGACGACGTAGGATCACTGTTTCTTGTCCGAGGAGCACGTCACCTTGCATATAGCTGCTTGACATCAACCACGAGCAAACTCAGCGCGTGCGTCAGCTGGAGGAAGCCCACGCAATGGCAGTCGAAGCGCTCCTGGAGGTGCAGCCAAAGTTCAAAGCGCTTCAAGTCAACCATGCGCAGTCTCTCTCCGAGTTGCGGCTTCTCGTATGCACGCTTACATGCAGTATCTCGACGTCTTGCTCGTCCCGTAGACGGAGCAGTTCGAGACAACACGAGACGACGCCGAGTCGGCGGCGGCGCAGGTGCACGCGTTGCGCGACGACCTCGCCGCGCTCACCGAGCAGCTCGAGCAGGAGAAGCGAGTGGCGCACGATCTGCTACTAAAAAACGAAGTTGGACACATTGTCTATTCAAGCCCGTGACACGAGCGCGTAGGAGCTCGTCGACACCATTGCAACAGTCCCAACGCCAAAGCACTCGCGCCAGCCAAGCGAGCTGTCGTCGCCGCGTGGCTATACGCGACAACTGAGCGGCGCGCACAGCCGACAGCCGAGCGAGTTCGACTTGAGCACGATGCTGCACCAAGAATCGGCGCTCGAGCGACGCCGGGCAGAGATCCTCAAGCGCGGGTCGCTCTTCCACGAGCTCTCCATTGAGCTCGAGAAGGAGTTTGTGCGGGCCAAACAGTCGCCTGCCAAGCTACCCATCCCTGCAGCCCCAATGTCGTGCGCCACATGCCCACTGCTCATGCAGCGCGAAGCCGCGCAGACGCAAAAGGCAAGCAAAGCGCCAAGAAACGAGCTTTCTGACGATCTGCTAGGTGGCTTCGTTGTCGCTTGAGGTGCAGCACCTCAAGCAGCGACTGGCGACGACCTTGCCGCCACCAACGACCGTGAAAGCCAAGGACGACGACCTTGTCGACGACATTCTCAAAGAGGTTTGTGCATCGTGGTTGAGGTGGAGCTCATTTTGCCACAAGTTTTTCGTGCTCACGGCTGCCGCCATCAAGATGAACGGCGCGGGCTTGGAAAACGACCGCTGCAACATCAGCAACGAAGTAGTGTCGACAGCATACTCTATGGCGTGGCTCATCGACGGACGTAGGTCTTGTACGAGAAGGCGATTGAAGCGGGCGTGACCTTTGAGCGCTACTATGCGTGGATCCAGCACGAGTTGGAAGGCAAGAACGTCCCGACGCGCTACCTTCGCCGACGAGTGTAGGCGGATACTGCACGCCTGTCTTCAACACAGATTGATAAGCCTTGGCAACTGCGAGCTGGGAATTCGAGAGCAGACAGACGACGGTGTTGACAGACGCAGGGACAAGCACGCATCGGCTTGCTGAGAGCGAGCGCTGGAACAATCGCTGCTGATGCATCTGAGTCGCATCGCGCAAGCTACTGCAAGGTAGCAGAATCTCGACGCGTCGCATTCCGAGAGCATGTGCGTGGTGCCGTAATAGGCCTACCTTCTAGCGTCGAGTAAGAACTTGTTGGTGGGCCCCTAGGTGCTCACGTCGTTGAACACTATCAGATCGTATCGAGTAAAGACAATATTTGGCTGGCTCCTCCATCGACGAGGTGTTGTGGAAGGTACCTGGCGCTGACCACGGTGCTGCAGCTGCACATGCGAAGGACGGCCCTACCCCTTGGGTCACATGGCGATCCCACGCAGGCGGCAGAAAGGTCATGGGTGTACGCGCAACGACTTTGAATCTAGTCGAATCAGATTGGTGCATTCGGTGTGGATCTAACGTTAGGTGGGAACCACACTGCAGAACCGAGGACCAGACGACGAGAATCTGAGATTTCAATCGCCTGTCGGCATGCACGATCGCATACACGTCTTCACGTGGCGGGCGTGCCTGCATACAGCGTAATACAAGGGCAAGGACGGGTGTTCTAGGACGTCTCTCACAGCAGTCGGGTGTGTAGGCGTTTTCAGATTCACCGAGCTGGTCGTTGAGGCGCCTTGTCGACAGGCGACCATTGAATCTTGACGTTCTGCTAAGACGATGGCGCTGGTTGTTGACGTGAACGTGGGTAGCCAGCCTGCGCTTGTCTTCGTATCTTCGAGCGTAGCCAACTCAGACGCCGGCATTGGCCTCGACGCGGCTACGTGAGCTCATTCTCGCATTGACCACCAAGCCAGTATGACGACATTCAACCCTGCTGCCTCCGTGCACACGCCCACGAACGACGAAGCGCTCATCACGGACGCGCCCTCCGCTCGCCACTCGACTCGCCGTCGCGGCTGGCTGCTCCTGGCCTCGCTCGTGGTCGTTGGTGCCGTCGTTGGTGCTGTCGTGTTCGTGGCCTCGCCGTCGTCGTCGGCGTCGTCGTCGGCCACCCAGCTGTCGGCAACGGACGAGCTCTCGACCGCGGTCAACCTCCCGCAAGTCATCCTTGCGGCACTCCAAGAAAACAAGCCCAACCTCGCGCAGCTCGTCAAGGACAACGTCCCGGCGTCCGCGGGCAAGTGCAACGAGAAGAACCCGCCCAAGCCATGCAAGGAGATGGGTTACCTCTACAACGAGAAGGGCTCCAACTACAAGGCGCTCGCGCGTTGGATCTCGGGCCTCAACGTCATCCGCTTTGAACAAGTCGACCTCACGGCGTCGGCCAACGGCACGCTGAGTCTGCGCTTGAAGGCGACGTTCCCGGCGCTCCCCGCAAGCCTCCGCATTGACGGCTGCCTCGGGTCGCTCTGCTCCAACATCGCCGACGACACCAAGACGTGCTGCGGCACGGAGAAGACCGTGACGCTCGTCGCGTCGATTGGCTGCAGCGAATCGTTTCCATTCCTGCGCAACGTGCAGTTCACAACGGCGACGATCACACCGATCATCGTGACGGTCAAGGCGCTCGGGCAGACGATCACGAAGGACCTGACGCCGTCGATTGAAGCCAAGTTCAAGGAGATCGTGACGGGCCCGGGCTTGGAGTACGCCAACACCAAGCTCAAGGAGCTCTACGGCGACGCTGTCCAGTGTGCGCAGTAAATAGCCTCCCCGTATGTGTGTTGTGCAACGTCCAACGCAAGTCCCCAGTGCAATGTCAAGTTCTATCTCGTTCACCGCGTCCTTTAAGACCATCAATTTGACTGTCCTGGTTGCACATTCGGTGGTTGACTTCTCTAGTACGCTCCGGAGCGCGTCCTTGCACCCAGAGCTATTGAACACCACACCTAGTATGTAGCCCAGAAGTGCGCAACGACGTACCATGTCGGTTTCGTAGAACCGAAAACGAAGAATTCTTAGAGCCGCAACGAGGGAACATCCATGACCTGTTCTAGAAGATGATGGATGACACAGCTGATGACGCTCCTTGCGTGTCGACGACGCGGGACCTATCCCATGATGGGTGATACCCTTCCTGGCAATGAATGAGTGTCTAGTAGGGCTAACTGGAGTCGATGAGGACGACGGTCTAGTCGAGCGACAAAATGTGGACATGATCTGTCCATTTTGTCAGAGGAAACCGAAATCATCGGTTCTGGCCTTTCTCTCGGGCGAGGGATGCGCACGTTGGTTGAAGGCAACCGATATCAACTACGCTTCAGTATAGCGACCTGGGTGCGAGAGACGTGCGCCAAAGGTCCACGAGAGACGAGGTGCGGGCTCCGCGTCGCTGGCACAGCCATGCGTCGCATACAAAGTGCAAGTGTGCGTGGCGCGCCAGAAACGTGGGGAGCAGCCTTGTATTTGATTGGTCAAAATTCGAGCGTAGGTGGGGCAACTGTCTCTCGACCATCCTTCATCGCGGGCGCTCATTGGCCATTATTGATGATATATAGCCAATGCACTCGCGTGGGATGGACACGAGCGGGCTTTTCGGCCAATCGGTGGGCCGCATGAGTAAACAGCGCGTCCGCTCGCCATTGTTTTTCCATCCGGCGACGAAGAAGAGAGGAGGATGATGACGAAGGCAGCGTACGAGGTCGACACGATGGTCCACCGCGACTCGCTCGGGGACCTCCACGCAGTACAGTCCTGCCCCAGCGGCCGCATGAAGATGGAGGAGCTCTTCCGGCAATGGCTCTCGCTGGAGGCGACCAAGGACATGATCTGTGGCCTCGTCGACGACGTCAAGAGCGGCCGCGAGGTCGTCGTGCCCGCAGCCCACACCAATGTATCTATCATCGGCGGCCTCGCCCAGGTGACGAGCAACCCCGCAGACCCGTGTCGGTCGCCGAAGCGGCCGCCGAACCACAGCCCGGCCATGGGGCCGAGCCGGCGAAAAGGCTCGGCCGGCTCGGTCGAAGACATCAACATGGGCATGCCAGAACCGCTGCAATTGTCGCTGCCCGAAGACGCCGAGGTACGATGCGCGGGGGTCAAATGGGCACATGTGCAACAAGTGTTGTAGAGTGACATGTCGGCCATGATCCCCAGATTCTACTTCCCCAAGGAGGGCGGTCGCGGCCGTGGCCGCGCCTACTCACGCGACCGACTGGACCGAAAAGAGCGCGATATTGAGGAGCGCTTCCGACAGGCCGGCGCCGGCCCTGATGGCATCACCGTCGATAGCTTCGTCTCGATCACAAAGGACCTCTGCGGTTTCCCGAGCTTCTTCAACCTCCCGCTCTTCCAGCGGATCCGCAAGCTCATGCTCAACCTCGACGCGCCCGAGGACGATCTCTCGGGCCGACTCTTGACGCTCGAGATGTTCCAGACGTACTGGGCAAAGGAGATCCAGCCCTTTGACAACATTGAGCGCTTCTTCCGCCTCGTCAAGCAGCCCCAAAACGACTACATTGAACACAGTGACTTTGCCCCGTTCCTTCACGGTACCTTTGCCTTGCGTCTCGCTTCTCATGTATGGAGCTAGAGCTCCTCAAGTACCATCCGGGCCTCGAGTTTCTCTCGGGCACACCGGAATTTCAAGAAAAATACGGTACGTCCACGCCATTTATCTGCAAATCTGCTCACGTTTACGGTAGCGGCCACGGTCGCCGTGCGCATCTTCTACATGGTCGACAAGGACAGCAGCGGCCGGATCACGCTCCGCAAGCTGCGGCGGTCCAACCTCGTCGAGGCCTTCAACGTGGTCGACGAAGAAGAAGATATCAACAAGGTAACCTGACGTCTCTAGCTCCATACCTACCAAGCTTTGTAGGTCAACGCGTACTTTTCGTACGAGCACTTTTACGTTCTGTACTGCAAGTTTTGGGAGCTCGACACGGACCACGACTTTCTCCTCTCGCGCGACGACCTCATGCGCTACGGCGGGCACGCGCTCACGCGCATCATCGTCGACCGCATCTTTGAGTTTGGTCGCCGGCCCTTTGCGCGCATGCAGACGCTGTCGCCGGACGAGAAGCAAAAGCTGAGCTACGAAGACTTCATTTGTGCGCCGCTTGCATTCGACTTGCATGGGGCTCATGACTGCATGACTAGATTTCATGCTCTCGGAAGAAGACAAGGGCAACCCCGTGAGCTTGCGCTACTGGTTTGAGCTCATCGACATCATTGGCGACAACGTCATTCGCGCCGACGAGATGCGCGTGTACTACGACCACCAGATCCACCGCATGGAGTGCTTGGGCCAGGAAGTCGTGCCCTTTGAAGACATTATGTGCCAAATGTACGTGGCGGCTAGAAGCACTGGAGCTGATTTGGAGGAGCGTAGGTCGGACCTGCTGCACCCGGCTATCGAAGGCGACTTTCGCTTTACGGACTTTACGCGGCCGGACAAGATTCGGCTCTCGGGCGTCTTCTTCAACGTGCTCTTCAATTTGAGCAAGTTTATCGAGTTTGAGCAGCGGGACCCGTTTCTTCTGCGGCAGCAAATGGCCGAGCCTGAGCTCACCGACTGGGACCGGTACGCGCGCGCCGAGTACGCGCGACTCGCAATGGAAGAAGAAGGCCGCGAGAACGACACGGCCATGGAGATCGACACGATGGACGGCTGGTACGGCAGCGACGACGACGTCGACGTCATGGGCAGCACCGAAGCGCGGACATCGGCCGAAGCGCCGTTTTAGAAACCACATACAACCATAGAGACGACGGGAATTCGACTATATAAGCGACTAGTGCTTCTTCTTGTTGCGCGTCTCGTTGCACTCGCGCAAGAGCTTGACGACGGCTTGGCACTTGGACCAGTTGCGGTCGTACTCGGCGAGGCAGTCCTCGAGCTTGTAGTACTCTTTCGCACACTTGTTGCGCTCAATCAGATCTATGATTCGAGATGGGACTTCGATCACATCTGGGATGCTACCTTCAATGTCGTCAAAGTCGCTCTTGCTACCGAGATGCTGCGGCGGCGGCAGCACGGTCGGCGGGCGGTCGGCCATCGGGACGCTTCTTCGGGCAATGTCAAAAAGGCAAACTGAGGCCAAATTCGGTCGTGTAGCTTCAATTCGGACATGTCCTGAAATACACTATTTCCGTGCAAAGGCAGCTGGTCGTCTCGCGTCGCACGCGCGGGTGCGCACCGGCATGCAGCGGTGGGAGATGCTTCTTCGACGAGTTGAGCCCGCGCCGATCTTTGCGGCCAACGTGCAAGAGCTTGCTCTCTTCTCTGCACACCGCCTATCACCCGGTATCTTTACACTATTTTCGTTACAATTCTCGCCCGACCTGTGCATCGCTGCACCGTTAGCCCGCGGACGCCGGACAAAGCACGCGGCCGCCGCATCTGCCGCAGCGCTTCCTGGGCTGCGAAAGACGGGGGCCGAACTCGGCGCGGCTGCATGTCCCACGATGCGTTCAAGAGTACACTATTTCCCGTCGTATCCGGATCGAATGAAGGGCCGAGTATACTGAATCCAAGAGAAATCGGTGGGATTGTGTTGTCAGTGACTGACTTGACGGCAATGGAAGCGCGGAAATCGCCGACGTCCGCAAGCACGTCGTCGTCGTCGACGCGGGAGGAGCGCGAGCCGCTCGTGCCCCCCGAGCCGAGCGAAGAGCCGACGCCCCCATCAAGCTACGGCTCGCATGAAGCGCTGCCCGTGACCTGCGACGACGAGGACTACGACTATGTGATGGCCTTCCCGCACGAGCCGCCGGCGATCGGGTCGCTGACGAAGCAAGACATTCTGCACCGCTTGCACCAGGCAGGCTTGAGCTACGAAGAGGTGCCATCGACGTCAGCCATCTTTTGCAAGCTGCGCGCCGACACGGAGCGGCTACAGAAGGAGGCTGCACGCGTGCACCTACCGCTGCTGCTCGACGCGACCGAGCTCGCGCAGGTGGCCACGTCGGGCTTGGCAAGCCATCACATTGAGCCGTTCGCGGTCGAGAACCCGCCACTGACGTTCCTCGACCATTTCAAGCGGCCGCGGTACCCGCCGTACGACTGTATCTACATGCCGTACGCCAAGCATGAGCCGCCGTCGATCTACGCGCCCCACGACGGCGAATTCTTCTCGGTCATCCACCGCATGCAGCTCATGGAGAGCATCTTGACCAACGTGCATGGCGGCGGCGCGGGCCTCGACCTCGAGAACCTCTTGACGCAGGGCGTTATTCTCGCGTGCTACCCTCTACACAACCGTCCACAAAAGGCGTCGCTGCAGCGGTCGCTCCTCTCGTGGTGCCGGCGGCCGTGGAAGCAGCCGCTCGTTCAGATCCGCGACTACTATGGGCCCAAGATTGCGCTCTACTTTGCCTACTCGGGCCACTACGCGACGTGGCTTCTCGGGCCGGCGCTGCTCGGCCTCGCGATCACGCTCTGGCAGCTGTACCCTGTCTCGATCCCTGCGCCGTACGCCGACTGGACCGTGCTGCACTACGTGCTCCCGATCTACGGCGTGCTCATGCTCGGGTGGGGCTCGTTCTTCCTCAAGCACTGGTCGCGCCGCAACGCCGTGCTCGCAATGGAGTGGGGCATGTCGGACTTTGACCGCGTCCGCAAGACCGTGCTCCTCCCGCAGATCCCGACCAAGCTCTACCAGCGCCTCCTGCGCTACTCGCTCAGCTGGGGCGCGGTGCTGCTGCTCGTCGTCGGCGCGGCGGTCGTTGGCGGCACGATCGTCGACTTGTACGCGACTTCGTCGTCGTCGTGGATCCAGGGCAACACGACGCTGCTCGCGCTCTTGATCGTCGCGCAAATTGCGGCGTTTGGTCATGTGTACAACCTCCTTAGCGTCCGGCTCAACGACTACGAGAACCACTCGACCGAGGCTACGTACGAGCTCGCGTTCCTCCTCAAGTCGGTGGTCGTCGGCCTCGTCAACGCCTTTGCCGCCATCTTGTACGCAGCGTTTCTCGCGCCAGTTCCCATCGCGGACCTCCCGTGGCTCATCTACCGCGTGTACGGGCTCCTCATTCTGCTGCACCATGGTATGTCGCTCTACAATGCGCGTATGCTCGCTGTGCAAGCCAAGGCCGGCGACGCTGCCTCGAGCTTTGCATCGTCGCCCGAGATGGAGAAGCAGTTTGCGATGGCTGCCTACGGCGCATACGAGAGCGCCCGCGACCACTTGACGCTCGTGCTGCACTTTGCTTTTGCGACGCTGCTCGCTGTCGTGACGCCGTTCGTGCCTGTGCTCGCATTGCTGCATCAGTTTCTCGAGATGCGCCTCAACAGCTCCAAGTTGCTCTTCTTTAGCCGCCGCCCGCGCCCGCGCGAAGCCGCCACGCTCGGCCCGTGGCTTGTCGTGCTCCACGTTGTGCTCACGATCGCGCTCTGCACCAACGCCGCGCTCCTCGTGCAGATCAACCGCGCCGATGGCCCGCGCCTTGTCAACAGCACGGCGAGTGGTGACAACGACGCGTCATCGCTCACGTGGTCGCTAATCGCGGCCTTTGTGTGCTTCCGCCTCCTCATCACGGTCGCGTACCAGAACGTCCCGTCGCGCGTCCGCCTCCAGCGCGAGCGGCAAGCGTACTACGTCGCCAAGCTCTACTACAAGGCGTTTGGGTGGCCCGCGCACATGGAGAAGAGCAAGTCGTCCACGTCGCACCGGTTCGACTATGCGCTCGTGTTTCCCAACCCCGAAGGGCCGAGCTGCCGCGACCCGCTCGCGATGAATGCGGTCCTCGCGCAGCTCGACGCGGCCGGCCTGCAGTACAAGGTGTACCCGTCGGACGAGAAGCAGTCGACGTACATGGCGTCGCACGTGTTTTGCGAAGTGCGCGCGACCGAAGGCCAACTGGCCGCCGAGGCCGCACGCATCCGCCTCCCGATGCTCCTCGACGAGATGGTGCTCAAGGACAAGGCGCACGAAGGGGTGTTTGACTCGCTCCACGGCCGGCTCGTCGATATGGTCGACCGGCTCCGGTCCGAAGCGCAGCGTGTGCACCTTGTGTTGCTGCTGCAAAACATGCTCACGCAACCGGCGTTCCTCGGCGACCTCGAACACGACTCGATGCACGGCACGACGAGCATGATGGCGGAGAAGCTCGAGTCGTTCTTGGCCGCGCTCGACCACCGCGACGTCCGCGCCGACCAGCGCTTGACGCTCGAAGCGCTTTTGCACGAATTTAAGGAGCGTCTCGATGTGGACATTGACGGCGAGCAGTTTCGCGACGACGACAATGCACTCGAGAGCTGCCTCTACCGCATGGAGAGCTGGCTCGGTGGCGCGGCGCCCGTCTTGCGCAGCGTCCGCCACTTGGACGCCCCGGTCGAGCCATCGGCGACGATCTCGCAAGAACGCATCATGCGCCACATGGTCCACGAACTCGAGTGGCTCCGCGCCCAAGCGCCGCTCAACGAGCTCTACCAACAACAGCACGCGTGGAAGTTCAACCTCGGGCACTGCGTGTGGTTCATGGAGCAGCTCCTTTTGCACTGCGACGTCTCGCCGTTGCAGCTCGTAGCGCGCAACGCCGACTCGCCCCTCAAGTGGTTCCACATGCACGACTACGTGGCCGAGTTTGACTCGGACAAGCTCTTCCCGAACGTGACGGTGCTCTTGGACGAGTGCCAGTGGCTGCTCGCGATTCCTGCGAGCACGCCGTACAAGGCGTACCAAGAGTTCCGCGCGCGCCACCCGTCGTCGCTCGTGCTTCCGCTCGTCGATGCGCTCGAGCGCTTTATCATTGCGACGCCCGACGTGGACATTGTACCGTTCTACCTCGGGACGCCGGACCCGCGATACAACCTCTTGGCCAAGCGCTTCAAGTACCGGCCGTACCAGTATCTGCACATGCCGTACACGCCGCTGCGGCTCTCGAAATGGCAAGACATTTATGCGCCGACGAATTCGCACTCGGCGTTCTTCCCGCAGCAGCGCGCGGTCCTCCTTGACAGTCTCCTCTCCCAGCACATTCAGCTCGACGATCTGCTTGCGTCGCACGTGCTCGTTGCCGCATACCCGCTCCATGACGAGCCGGAGCTGCGCCGGTTGGAGACGACGTGGCGCGGCTGGAGCATTGCGCAGCCGCTCGAAGCGATCAAAAATTACTTTGGCCCGGCCGTCGGCATGTACTTTGGCTACCTCGGGCACGCAACCAAGTGGCTCGCGGTCGCGGCCGTCGGTGGCATCGCGCTCGTGCTCGCGGAAGCGTTTGACGCGTCGCCGCTCGTCGATGCGGTTGGTCTGCCGGTGTTTGGCGTCGCCATGGTGGTCTGGGCGACCTTGTACATCAAGCACTGGACGCGCGCCAAGGTGATTCTCGAGCTGCAGTGGGGCCTCACGACCGACGACGGCGTGAGCAAGCCGCAAGTGCCTCTCGTGCGCGCTGCGTACGCTGGCGACTTTATCCGCAACCCGGTCACGGGCCAAAAGATGAAGTACTTCCGCAAGAACGCCCGGCTGGCTCGTCTCGCGTTGAGCTGGATGGCGCTTCTCGCAGTCATCGTCGTCAACGCCGGCGGGGTCTACGGCCTCTTTTACGCCGGCGAGAATGCGCTGCTTCTGCAGCCGACGCTCAGCGTGCCGTTCCTTCAAGGTCTCTGGCTGCTCTTGATGGACGCGGTCTTTGGCCCGATCTGCGCTGCGCTCACAACGTACGAGAACCACCGGACCGACCTCTCGCACGAAGACGCATATGTGCTCAAGGCAGCGATCTTCATGATCCTCAACTGCTTTGGGAGCCTCGGCGCGCTCTTCGCCCTCGTGCCCGACCCGCTCCTGTTGCCGACGCTGCGCACGGCCTTGTACGTCCTCTACGGCGTGCAGATTGTGTACCGGGTGGCCTCGAGCGTGCTTGCATTTGCGCTGCCGTCGGCGCCGTCGCGGTCGACCGAAGCGCAGTTTTCGCAGGGCGAGCTCGATGGCACGCTGCTGGTCCACGCGCACCTGCAGCGCGTCTTGCACTTTGGCTACGTGCTCCTCTTTGTCGTCGCGTGTCCGCTCGCGCCGCTCCTCGGCTTTGGCCACCACTTTGTCGAGATGCGGCTCCAGGCGCTGACGCTGACGGGGTATGTGCGCCGCCCGCGGCCGCGCCCGATCGCGCGCCAGTGGTATCTGGTCATGCTGCAGTGGGTGCTCACGCTGGCGATTGGCGCCAACGCGTATCTGGTCGTGTACACGAGCCACATTCTGGACACGCACGACCAGCTGAACGTGCTCCAGTCGATGGACGGCTTTTGCGGCCTCTTGATAGTGCTTCTCTTGCTGCGGTCTGCGGTCAACGTCCTCTTCTCCGACTTGCCGCTGCGCGTCACGTCGCAGCTGGAGCGGCAGTCGTTTGTCGTCGAGCGCATCTTGCTGGATCAACCCATGTACCTCGCCGACCCAGCGCCAAAGAACGCGGGCAGTACCAGCATGCTCTTGCTGCGTCGCGGCAGCAGTATGAGCAGCGAGCGCGTCAGCGACGTCCACGACGAGGACCACGTCTCGGACGACGAAGAGGAAGAAGGCTTTGTCTAGCCAGTGATTGCTCTCTCTATATATTAACGCAAGCCAAGCATCTCGATGTTTCGTGTTGAACGACGTACGACCTGCGATGGACGACGAAGAAGTGCTCGGCCGAATCGGTCGAGTCCGGCGCGTGCATGGTCAAGTTGATGTGGTGCAAAAGACGTTCATCTTTTTCAGCCAATGGCATCGCGATGCTCTTCTTGTACCCAATGGCCTTGCAGACATCGTCGATAAATGGACCAATCCCATGGCCGTATCTTTTGCGCGCAAGCAAATCTTGACCGTCAATTTGCAGTTTCTCAAGCCATGGCCGAGACGCAGCCGCTCTGCAAGCACGACCCGTGGGCCTACGCGCTCGTGTTTCCAAACGACGACGCGACCGTCGACGCGTCGACGATGACGCTCCAGCCAGCCGCGCTCGAGATCCTCGGGCGGCTCTACAGCGCCGGCATCGAGACCAAGCTCTTCCACTCGGCAAGTCTCTCGACCGCGACCAAGACGCCGTCGCTCATCATCTGCAAGCTGCGCACGACGCACGCCTTTTTGGCGTCCGAGGCCGCGCGCATTAACCTCCCGATGCCAATGAACGCGGTCAAGCTCCGCGCCATCGCCGAGTCGGGCTTCATCGGCACGGACGGCCGCCTCATCGAGTCGTTTGCGATCGCGCAGCTGGCGACAGACACGTACACGCCGTACGAGCACATCCACATGAAGTACGACGTCGCGCCACACGCACAAGCGCTGTACGAGCCGCACAGTCATGAGCATTTCTTCTCGTCAACCAAGCGCCTCTTGCTCCTCGAGAGCCTCATCGTCAACGTCGCGCAGCTCAATCTCGAGGCGCTCAAGGCCCAAGGCGTGATCCTCGACTGCTTTCCGCTGCACGACGACGTCGAGCGACCTCTCTTGCGTGACGCGCTCACGTCAATGACGTACATGACGTGGCACACGCCCGTGCACGCAGTCAAAAACTACTTTGGGTGCAGAATCGGGTTCTACTTTGCGTACTTGGTGTTTTACTCCAACTGGCTTCTCATTGCGGCGCTCGTTGGCCTCGGCGTCTTCCTCCTCGAGGCGTCCATCAAGACGCCGCTGCTGCACTTCGTGTCGGGCAATGCGACCGCAAGCTTCTACCTCATCCAAGTGTACACCGTCCCGCTCTTTGGCGCGTTTGTCGTGCTCTGGTCGACGCTCTTTCTCGAGAGCTGGAAGCGCCAGACCGCGACGCTCGCGCTGCAGTGGGGCACGACCAACATCGAAGAAGTCGAGCAAGTCCGGCCGTCGTTCCAGGGTGTTCCGGCCAGCTGCTCGATCACCGGCGCCCCGATCAAGTACTTTTCCGAGGCTGAGAAGCTCTGGCGCCAACTCGTGTCGTGGGCGATACTTCTTGCGCTCATTCTGGTCGACATGGCTATCGTGGCGCTTGTGTTCTATCTACGCTACTACCTCACGCAGACGCACCCGACGTGGTGCAGCGTTACGATTTCGGGCCACGAGCTGAGTTTGAGCTCGCCGATTTGCTCCTGTGTCAACGTCGTCCAGATGAACCTCATGTACCGCATCTACGACCGCCTAAGCCTCCGCATGAACGAGTATGAGAACCACGCGACCGACTCGGCGTACGAAAATCACTATCTCGTCAAGAGCATCCTCTTCAACTTTGTCAACTCGTACATGGCGCTCGTGTACGTCGCGGTGCTCAAGAAGCCGATCGAAGGCAAATGCTGGGAAGACGACTGCTTCTGGGAGCTCCGCTACTCGCTCATCATCATCTACGGCGTCCAGATCGTCGTTGGCAACGTCAAGGAGGTGTGGGTGCCACGCTTGTACAACAAGCTCCTCGGGCACCGCACGGTCGCACGCTGCGAAGTCGACCTCCGGTCGCGGGCTGAGCAGCAGTTTCTGCAGACTGAGTATGGCTGGAAGGGCTCGTTCGACGACACCCTCGAGATGGTCCTCCAGTTTGGGTACTCGACCTTCTTTGTGATTGCCTTCCCGCTCACGCCGCTTCTCTCGTACGTCAACAACGTGATTGAGATCCGCGTTGACGGCTACCGGCTCACAGTCGACTGCCGCCGGCCGGTGCCCCGCAACGCCGATGGCCTCGGGCTCTGGGTCGACGTGCTGGAGAACATGGTGACCTTCTCGATTGTCTCAAACGCGTACGTGATCTTCTACACGCACGGGTACCTCGGCGACGTCATCGACGTGTATCTGTGGCAAAACGTCAACCGACCGTACTGGGACCTCGCGCTCTTTGTTGGCTTTGTGACCATCGTGCTTCTCTTCCGCGCAGTCCTCGCCATGTGCATCGACGACGTGCCAGCTGCTGTCGCCAAGCAGCTCAAGCGCCAAGCCTTTCTCGTTACCAAGGTCCTCGACCAAGTCGTCGCCGACACGGACGTGGCCAAGCGCCGGGCGATCACACCGGCGGCGCTCACGACACTCAACATCATCCACGCCAATGATTCGGATGGTCATGGCTCGTACGGCGCCGTGTAAGCTTGAAACATTGATACATTTGGGTTGGGGGTATTTTGGTTTGAGTGACTTTAATACAATAAGAGTTATATAAGAATAGGTAGTACTAGGGTGCGATGGGGCGGAAGAAGGTGAGGATGATGGGCTTGGGACCGCTGCGAAGCTCGGCTAGAATCGTGTCGTACGTGCAATCGATCACGCTGCGGTAGTTGAGCTTGATGAGCTCGTCGCCGACCTCGATGCGCGTGCCCGGGGTGGTCGACTGGTAGGAAACGTCGCTACTGGCCCGCGTCCGGACGACAACGGGGCTCGGGTCGCGCTTGGAGAGCGCAATCTGCAGCGGCGCAACGCCGCTCCACACGACGTGGTAGAGGCAGCCGCTCGCGATGCGAAGTGGCGTCGTGAGCTCGGACCGCGGCGCGAACCTCAGAAGCGCGGGCTTGGACAAGGCAGCGAGCCGGTCGCAGACGTCCGGGAACGTTCGGCCGCGCGTTGACTCGCCATTGATGCATTGCAAGACGTAGCCAACCGCGAGGTGCCGCATGCCCGGGTTGCGCGCGTGGACGATGCGCTCGATGACGGTGGCGTTGTCGCTGTCGGCGTGGAGCACGAGCCCGAGCGTCTGGTGCGGTAGCCAGAGCACGTCGATCGCCGCGGTCGGTGCGGGTCGCCGGCGCCCCGCGGCGGTCGAGAGCTCAAAGATAAAGGTCCTTGCCACTTCGGTCGGCGGCAAACAAAACACGTGGCTACCGTCCAGCACGAGCGCCAGCGGTGAAGCCGCGAACGGTGGCGCGTTGTTGATCGCGACGAGAACGTCGCCGACCGCAATGGTAAAGACATCGGGCGACCCGCTTGTTGTGGCATGGACGCTGTGCACGACGTAGGCGCCGTCGCGCTCTTCCAAGCAGACGCCGAGGTGCATGTGGGCGGGCAGCTCGACCGTGTACGAGCGCGGTGCCGTATACGCACCAAAGGCAGCGTGGATACCGAGACTCGCGCTGCGCCGGTGCGACGGCTTGGACGACGCTGCGACGATGATCGGAGCGGGTCCATTGGACGCGTTGTCAAGGTGGATGACATCGACGCAAGGCTCGTTCCGACTTGTGGTGACGCTGTGGCGAAGGCTGTGCGCATGTTCGGTGAGGCTTGGCTCGTACGAGACGCACCGCCGGTGGCGCGGCGCGGGGCTCCACGAGTGCTGCTCCGAGTCGACGCTCAGCGTGGACGCCGTGAGCGTCGACGTGCGGCGCTCGGGCAGGCAGAACTTTTCGATCTCCTTGGCAAAGCCCCGGCTGGATGAGGTTGTAGGGAGTTGGCGCTGCGAGCGCAGGAGAATGCTGCTGTTGTTGTCGGCAAGGCTCGACCGACGGCTGCTGTTCGTCGGGTCCTCGGCCAGCTGCTGCTTGAACGCGGCAAACTTGGCTGGCTTGGCCTTGAACCACATCGAGACACTTGGGAAATGCTGAAACGGAGACGGAGATGGGCCGATCAGTTGCGTGCATTTAGAGTCCCACCCAACGCCAAATCGGGTAGCAATCACGCCAAGGCGGCGCCGGGCTACTCAAGCCAGCAGCGACACAAAGCGCCTCAAACGTATACTAGTACACGCTATAGTACAGAGAGCGGCTCTCTAGCGCCGTAGCGAGGGCGGCCCATTATACCTCGGGTCCACTCAGGTGGCAGTTGAAGAAGGGCGAGATCCGGCCACTTTCCGGTGAGTTTCGAACCAGTTCATTGACATGCCTTGCCTTGCCTTTGCATTGGTAGCTAGCGTTCGTACCCGGATCCTGCAGACATAGATGTTACTGCTGCACGCACGCTAGCGCTTGCCACCGCGCACGTCGTCTGCGGCGGAGTAGTTGTACTATGGTTGTCATTCCTATCTCAGCCGTACAGAAACGGCCTGTGGGGTCCGCCGTTCCCGAGACGCAACACACAACCGCAGTCCTTCTTGGTGGACCAAAGTTGCGTTCCATTAGCGTGCGCAGAGGTATGCATGGCTCAACACGCCGCCGAAAATCTCAAAATTTAGCGCTCGGTGAATGGCTCGACGATTCACTAGCTGTACGCATGTGCCAAGGTGCAACGTGGCCAAGACGAGCCACGAACCTTGCTGACCACGAGAAGCCAAACGAACGCGCAGCTGCTCTGCGATCACCATGACGCTGCCGGCGCCTCGTGCTGCCACGTCAGACAGATGGTCCGGCCCAAAATAGCCCCTCAAACCAGATTTGGGCGAATGGACGCCGAGTCCGACGCGCCGTCGGCGCACGAGGGCCTGCCGCACGTGGCCACGAGCGTGATCCAAACCCACAAGTTCAAGACCAAGTCGGATCCAGAGCTGGGATGCGTGGTATCTCATGCACACTCTAGAGTTCAGAGCCGCCTTCGTCGCAAGATGGGCTGGACGCGCAAGCAAGCCATGCTCGAGCAGCTCTCGCGGCAATGTCAGGACCATCTGGAGCGCCACGGCACGCTGCCAGTCATTCCCGTCGACATCAAAGTCGACTCGCTGCGGCGCGCGATACGGCGGCGCCTCACGTTTGCCTCCGAGTGGTACACAACCGACGACGACGAGGCCATTCAACATACCGGAAACAACTCATCGATTAGGACCGAGTACTTCTACACCAAGTTTTTCTTCCAGTCGCCACTCGCCGTGCGCTTGACGGCTGATGTCTTTTGGCACTACAGCATCGCGTTCTTTGCCATGGGCGAGCATGACGGCCATAGCTTTCTCGATCTTTTGCACGCCCACGCCCAAGGGTCTGTCGCAGGTAGGCCTCTCCACTCGACGAACGTTTGCTCTACGGTAGACGATGCCTCGTTCAACTAGTGCTCTACGGCAAGCTGCTCACCAAAGTCCACAATGTGACGTTGCCCACCGGCGCCGCCGACGAGTTCCTCGACTTCTTCCCTTGTGAGCGTCGTTCTGGTATCGTACATGGCTTCTAGTTTGGTTGGATTAGACCTCGTCTCCCGCACCGTGTACAAGGTGGCGCAAAAATCGTACCCTGAATTCGTGTTTCAGCTGCGCCGCCTCGCGCGGCAGTCGCTGATCCACACGGCGTGCGTCTGGACGACTGGTATTACCGCGAAAAGCGCGTGCTGGAAATCCTGGCGCGTTGAAATGTACATACTCTATTCGCACGCCAATTAATAAGTTGTATCCACGAATGCTAGTAAAAAGAAGAAGCTCAAGCACGCGCCAAAGCCCAATCTCATGGTGCGGGAGCTCGCAGACGACGAGCGCGGCCTCACCGAAGACCTTGGGAGCGACGACAGCAACGAAGAAGACTCGCTCTCGGACGAAGATGCGGCGTTCTCGAGTGTGGCATTTGCCGAATTCAAGATCGAAACCGCGGCAAGCGACACGGTGGGCACGCCACGTCAGTACACATGTGCATATAGATGTGTAGGCCTCGAGCGCGGCCGAGGCGCTGCGAATGATGGACGTTCCCCAGCGCAAGTACGCCCACGGTCACTTGGAGAAAGCGGACCTCGCGTTTAGCGCCCCCGTCCGCGCTGTAGCGTGCAGCTAAGTATCGGTGTATCGAGTTGACGGACGATTGATAGATTATGGACAAGTACCAGTACTCGGGGCTGCAAGGACGCCGCCTCGGTGTCGCCCTGCGCCTCTCAGACAAGGAGCACCAAACGTACAACGTGCACAAAGAACAGCACAAGGCGTGGCTGGACCACCTCAACCGACCACTGCGACAAACCCAGAGCTTGAGCAGCTTGACGCTCGAGGCGGACGACGAGGTACGCTCAATGCTTCTGCAACGGTACAACCGAGTCGTACGTGGCCAGGGCAAGCAAGTGTTTGTGCCGAAATGTGAGTTTGAGCTCGCGGTGGGTCAACGCTGCTAGCGTCACGTGATGACGAAGGATCCATTATGGTCTTCTAGAACCCGGTGGCGGAAGCCCGCGCCAAGCGGCTGCTCGAAGCCAAGCAAAAACTACTCGAGGTACGCCATCGCGTTCCCTGAGAGTCAAATTCAATGTTGCTTGTGGCAGCGGGAGCAAGAGTACGTCGGGGAGGTTATCCAGTACAAGCCCGCCATCGTTGTCTTTGGCCAGCGCCTCGATCAAGTACACTTGCTCATGTACATGATTGTGTCAACGGCGGCGGTTGTAGCACCTCAAGATGAACCCGCTCCGGCGCAAAGCCATTTTAGCACCGCTCAAGTCGTAGATCATTCGCACAAGCAAATGCAAACTGTCGATAGCTTACTTCAAAGCGACGGGGTTCTTGGTTTTCCAGATTCGCGACAAATTTCAGCGCAACCGACTTCAAGAATTCGAGACTGGACCAGCCCACTTCGTTCTCAGGGCTCGGTGCACCAAGACTGACGGTGCTTTGGTCAGCTCGAACGCCGGTTGTTGGTGTACGTGCCCACGACGCACGTGCACTCGATTGGGTGCGTCTGCGCGGTAACTCGTCGTAGTACAGCGCACATTGCCGAGTTGGCCGTGAAGCTTCCGCGTGCATTTATATGCATCCTGCAACCGGCAAGCCTGCAACAAGCCGACGACAACTCAACTGCTACAACCTTACCATGGCGCTTGACGACGCGCGCTGCTGCTCGTGGTTGTGCCGACCAGTTGGGTACCTAACCGGCTCGTGTGTTCGATTGCGAGCGTTCATCTTGGCCATCCACTCGTGGATGTCATTGACGTCGGCCTGTCTGCGGCCCAGGTGCGCGCACTTGATTGCTGCGTCACATCCTATCATCCAATCGAAGCACTGGAATTGCCGTGCGCGTGTCGCAAGCGCGCACTTGCAGGCGGCCATCCAACGCTGCCGCCGGGTTGTCGCGCCTGATCGTCCGGATACGAGCGATCCCCATCAATACAAACCAAAGGCAAAGTGGAATCCTCCGGATACGGAACCTGGGGCCAAAAGTTGATATGCATCGTACGTTCATTTGATGTCTTGTACGCTTTTTATATGAATGTACGTAGTACAATGTACGTGGCGTACCGAACGCTGCTTCGCGACCGGCGATACGAAGGAAATTCACTTTGAGATTTGCACCATGTCGAACAAGGCCGCTGCCAAGAAGCGCAACGAGAAGCTCATGGCGACCTCGACCAACTACGGCTCCGTCTACCTCGACGTGAACGACCCGGGCCAGCACTGGGACTACGCCATCGCGTTCCCCAACCCGGAGACGCGCAAGTCGCCGGCGCCGGTCTCGATGCAGGAGATCCTCGAGAAGCTCCACGAGCATGGGCTCATCTTCAAGCTCTTCTACTCGTCGACGCGCGACATGGTGCTCTGCCAGATCCGCTGCCACTACAAGCGCCTACAGATGGAGGCCGACCGCATCGACATGCCTGTGCTGCTCGACCCCAAGGTGCTCCAGGCGACGGCCGAGCGCGGCTTTCCGGAGCTCGGCATTGCGCCGTTCGCGATTAGCGACGTCAAGCGCCTCTACGACTTCCACCCGTACGAGCACATCCACGCCGCGTATGAAGACGACGAGGAGCACCAGGATCTGTTTGCGAAGCGTAACTTGGACGGCTCGGTGTTTGCGCCCGTCGAGCGCATGAAGCTCATCGAAAGCATCATCGTGTCGCACGAGTGCTGCAACTTGGATCTCGATGCGCTCTGCATGGACGGCTCGATCCTCGCGTGCTACCCGCTCCACAACGAAGACGAGATTAAGCACCTCGCCAAGTCGTGGATCCCCAAGGTCGCGGCGCCGTGGACGCAGCCCATCGAAGAGATCCGTGACTACTTTGGCGAGCGCATCGCCTTCTACTTTGGGTACCTCGGCCACTACACGACGTGGCTCATCTACGCGAGCATTGTCGCGTCGATCGTCTTCCTCATCAAGTGGTTCACCGAAACGGAGGAGCGCACGATCAAGAACCCCGACGGCACGGAGATCAAGTCCGAAGTCCCGTCGGTCATGACGTACGTCATCCCGATTTTCGCCGTCTTCATGTGCATCTGGTCGACGCTCTTTATGGAGTCGTGGAAGCGCCAGCAGCAAGTATACGCGATGAAGTGGGGCATGACCGAGATTGAAGGCGAAGAGAGCACCCGCCCGCAGTTCACGGGCGAGCCCGTCTTGAGCGCCATCACGGGTGCCAAGACGCGCTACTTCCCGTACACCAAGAAGTACCAGCGTGTCGCGGTCTCGTGGGCGCTTCTCTTCTTGCTCTGCTCGGTCGTCATTGCGATCGTCGCCGGTATCTTCACTCTTCGCCACAACCTCGTCGAAGGCGACAACGCGTGGAAGGCCGAGTTCTTGGGCTTGAAGATTCCCGTCGGCATTGCCGTGTGCTCGGGTGCCAACGTCATCCAGATTATCATCATGGGCAAGATCTACTACCGCAGCTTCTACCGCCTCAACGAGTACGAGAACCACGAGACGGACGCGCAGTACGAGAACTCGCTCGTGCTCAAGACGTTCGTCTTCCAGTTCATCAACAACTTCTCCGCGCTCATCTACATTGCGTTCCTCAAGAACATCTTTGAAGGCCCGAGCAACACGCGCCTCCACGAGCTCGCGTACTCGCTCGCTATCGTCTACGGCTCGCAGCTCGTCATTGGCAACGTCAAGGAGATCCTTCTCCCGCGCGTTTGGGTCTGGCTCTCGAAGCGCTCGATCCTCAAGCAAGAGGCCGTCGCCGAGCACCAGTCGGAGGCCGAGAAGGAGTTCTTCCTCGCCACGTATGAGTGGAGCGGCACCTTTGACGACTTTACCGAGATCATCACGCAGTTTGGTTTCTGCACGCTCTTTGTCGTCGCCTTCCCGCTCACGCCCGTGCTCAGTCTCCTCAACAACTACCTCGAGATCCGCGTCGACGGGTACCGTCTCCTCTTCGAGAACCGCCGCCCGCGCCCGCGTAACGCGAGCAGCATTGGTCTCTGGATGGAGATTGTGGAGTTCATGACGACGCTCGCGATCTTGACCAACGCGTACGTGGTTGTGTGGACGTCCAACACGTTCGACTTTCTCGAGGTCAAGTACGCGGGCCACTCGAACATGGTCGAGCTCACCCGCGTCGAGGCGTTCATGATCTTTGTTGCTGTCATGCTCGCGTTCCGCTTCTGCATCGCCAAGCTCATCGCGGACGTGCCGCCGTCGGTCGTTGCGCAGGTCAAGCGCCAGCTTTTCTTCAACAACAAGGCCATCTACCGCCTTCCCGATGACATTGTGAGCAAGTACTCCCGCCGCCCCGACGACGTCTTTGACATGACGATCCAAGAGTCGGGCTAAGCTCGATGTAGTTTGCATCGGGGCCACTACACACTGTGTTATGAATATACGTGTCATTTGTGACCATGATGGGTGGACTGTACGAGAAGCACGGGACTGTGCTGTCGGCATGAGTTGTTTGACAAATAAGATCCGACCGATCCGCGGCGAACACACTGGACGCGCAAGTACACGTAGTGATGTCAAGATGGTTTTCGCTGCACGGCAATACTACGCGAGGCCTTCAGTGGTTCCTTGGAGTAGCACAATGAGCTGCTGCACGATGCGCGCCTCAAAGGCCACGAGTGCTCGGAACTCGTCCAACACGGCGCGGTCTGCTTCGTCGTTGACCTTGAGGACATTGGGCGGCAGCTTGCGCAGCCACGTGTGCGTCTACAGGCGTTAGATGTAGCACGTGTGCTTCGGAGTGTTACCTTGACGGATTGCTCAAGATATGCGAAGAGCTCACTCAGGTAGTCGGAGCTCGAGCGCGCGGCCGTATCATTCGTTTCATCTCGGAGCTCCCGTGTCTGCACTTCGCTTGCCAAGATGGCGCTCCATGACATCGCCTCAGTGGGCTGGCTCCCTGAGCTCGCGAGCTATTTTGTACAGTGGTGAATCGCAGTACATGAGTATAGACAAAGAGCATGGGATCACATACGTTGATGTGCAAGAGCAATTGCTGCTTGGCTGTTCGTTCTTCGCCCAGTTGGCTCTTCGCGAGATCAAGCTCGTCCGTGAGTATGGCCAGCTATACATGTGGACGATTGGCAAGTGTAGCCAAACGATCATTACCTCGCTTGCCAGATCATTCGCTTTTGCAGTACTCGTCTCACACTCGGCGACCTAGGCATCGTTCGTGAAGGAAATACGATGCGCAGGTGCTGAACTTTGGCTTGAAGAAACTCGGTTAGCTTGATATGGTCTTCGCATAAAAGCCGGTATCGCGGCAGCATCAAGCTGTGCTTGGTTTCCAAGCTCTTGAAAGATGAGTTGAGCGTCGCAATGTGGCGCTCATAGAGCTCGACGCGAGCTTGATGCTACACTGCCAATGAATATAGATCAACTCAAGAACACATACCTCGTTGATTTGAACACGGCAGGAAGCAATGTCGTCGCGCAGTCTTTCATTATTGCTGCGCAGCTCTTCGTTTTCCGTCTTGAGCTTGCCAATCTATGGATATTGAAGTGCGTCGTAGTGCATCCTGGAAAGTACACCGAGCCCGTGCGCGGTCTCGATGATCGCACGCGAGTCGCGCTCGGTTTGCAAAATCTTGCACTCGGCGCGAAGCGTTCGATGGTCCACGCTGACGTCATGAATGATGCATGCAAAGGGAGGAGAGCTCTCGCTGGCCATCGTACAAAAGCTGGCTGTGCTGGTCTCGCAGCATTCCGAGCTCGCGCGTTGCCGTGACATGCTTGGCATTGAGGGCCGCAAACGCTCGCATGTTATCCGCGTATCGCGTCTCCCATGCCTTGGCCTCCATCGTAGCGTCCTCGCATTGCTTTTCGAGCTACCCATCGGGCTTGGTCATCGTTTCCAGCAGGTGCAGCATGCGTACCTCGTAGACACGCATCTTCTCGTCGTCCTCGGCCTTCTTCTTGGAGACAAGGAGGCGCTTCCCGATACGCGCCGCCAGCTGGGCTTCTTCCCGCGACTCGTCCAGCGCACGCCCTTGCTTCTTGAGCTCGTTCTCCAAGGTCTCGACCTCATACGAGGAGGATACATGTAGCATCATGCTCACAGCGGGACCATCTACCTGGATGTCATACTTGAGCTTCGTGAGCTCATGGCCGCGGGAAGCGCCGATCGTCCGGAAGCGCTGCTTGGGGGTCATGCTGCTGCCCGCGTCGGTCATCGTTCTCGCTTCGTCCCGGCAAATTCGCAACTGGCGATCCCCAAATCATCAGTATACAAAAAACAAGCCATTTTTATTCCGCCCGTTAAACGGTTTCAAGGCCCTTTGCATACAAATAGTAAGTATATATTGTCATTTTTTAATCGCGCGAAACCGTCGATCGATTTTGCGCGCGCGAAGTGTGCACATAGCACGTGGCGTTGCACTTGGCGTTGCACTTGGCGAGGGTGTTTGGTATCATTTTCTGCCATGTCACTGGGATGACCTCTTTTGAGTTGAGTCCTCTTCAGCCCATACGCTTGTGTCCTCCTTGAACACCTGACGCAGCACCCAACCAAGCTACCCAATCTCAAAATGTTCGTTTTTGACAATACAACGACGCCAGACTCTAGTCGAAGAAGAGGATGACGACGGTCGTGTCATCGTGGACACGTCGGCGCGCCTTGCCGGGTGGCAGCGCCGCAAACTCCTTGAGCGTCTGCCTACACAGCAATGCATATGCCGCCATGCTATCCGAGCCCTACCCCTTGACCTCGGCGGCGCGGGCAATGACGCGTTCGACCAAGACGCGACCCGCTTCCGTCTTCTTGCCCGCCGCAATGTGCGCCTGGACGATCGCAACGGCCTACGTCAGCATGAGCTCGCCTGCGCCGTCAGCATCATGCACCTCTTCGTTTTCGAGAAAGTCCCAGACGCCGTCGCTGCCGAGGATGAGAAACTTGTCCGAAGCGCTCAGCACGTGCGCCTTGGTCTCGGGGATCGCCATCACGTACGGCGGCGTGTACGGCGCCGCAATGTGGCGGCCGCCAGCGCGCTCGGTCGCGATCGGAGACGCGTTGAACTCCGGGTACTTGAACGCAAAGTCGCCCAAAGCTCTGCAGTCGCCAAGTCAGCGTCGACGTCGATGTAGCTGGACACATTGTACCGTGTGGGCTGCAAGCCGCCCTTGACGTAGCACGACTCGGGGTGCTTGCACACGACGATGTTGTCTTCATTCGGGTGCTCACGCGCCAAACGCTCCTTCTCAACCGCAAGCTTGGCGTTGTGGTCGTTGCTGAGCGCCACGGCGCGCAACGCGCCGTCGTCATCGGACGTCGCCAAAACGGCGCGAATGTCGCCCGCTGTACACGACCCTTAGGTTCCTCGTCGGCAAGGTGAGAGCGGTACCGTTGGCGAGGACGAGGAGATCGTCTTGGAGGTATGCCAGCATGGTGCAAGCGCCGACGCGGTTCACCTGGCCAAAGCCGAGCTGGAATGCGGGAAGCAGCAGCGAATGCAGCTGGCGCTCCGTGCGCAGGTAGCCATGCTTGATAGCCGCCTCGACCTACGTTCAAGGTGAGTTCTGTCTTGTTGCAGTGGTCGATAAAACCTTGGCGGCCGTCACGTCACGCAACTCGTCGACTTCGGCCTTGACGTTTTCGATCAAGTGGCCGTGCGTATACTCGGCGACTTGCCACCCACCTAGACGACGATGCAATGAGGTGACGACGACCGTGCATTCTTATCGTAACGCACCATGACCGTCAATAACCGCAGCAAACACCTCCTTCTTGTTGGCTTGTACGACAAAGCGATCCTATACCAACGATGCTTCGGTCAGCGTGGACCATGAGCTGCAAGGCGACCTCGATCGGATAGTTGGCACGGTACGAAGCACACGAGTAGCTGCGGACGTGGGCCACCGCCCGCGCGAGCTGGACGTCCACTTGGCGCTCCAAGTTGAGCGATACAGGCGCCTCTTCGACGTCGGCAATGGCGTCGCAGTTCGGGCTCTCGGCGACGACGGGTGCATCGCACAAGGCCGTTGCCGTCAGCGCGAGGCCGACAGCAGCGCCGAGCGCCATGGTGGCATCCATACGCCACTTGCGGTCTTGGCCCATCGAGGCAACAAAAGCGCGCGCCGGCGATGCGCGGGCAACAGCGCGCTGGGCGACCTTGGCCGAGTAGCGTCCGCAGATCTTGAGCATGAGGAAGGGGCAAAATCGAAAATGACCCCACGCAATCTTGACTGCGGTCTTGGGACAAACTGCTGGGTAAAACCAGCCGAGCATGGTAATATGTCCATTTCGTCAATATTGCCATGTATTTTATCTAAAATGACTCAATTATGGTGAAATTTTTAGCAATATGAGACGATCTTGTGAAACATATGACCGCGCGTCTGATAATTTTGCCCACACATCCTTGGGCTCGGCGACCGAGATACCAACATTCGCCTTCCCATGCGCATCTCCTCGGTCCTGCGCTGGTGCTCCTCGGGTCTCGCGATCGCCGTCGCTGCGACGACCGACTGTGCGTCGTCGGGCACGTGCGAGGCGCCGGCGTCCGCTGCGCTCGAGTACGACTCGATCGAGGGCCAGCAGCTCCCGCACCCTGTAGGCCGCGTCGTCGGGCACTACGCCGCCTCGTACCGTGCCAACTTTCCGAACGAGGTGCACCTCTTGATGACTAGGCACGAATGGTGCTCATGGCTGCAATAGGATCGATGGAACGTCCATGTGGTTGCAACCGATGGCGTCCTCGCGGCTGTCATGGACGGCCACGGTCTCTTGATGAATTTACCTCCCGAAGCAATCCTAATCGAGCGCGTAGGTGGCTGGCAGGTGGCCGAGTTTGTGCAAACGCACTTGGTCAACAACACACGTCGCGCGCTGCAGAGCGCGGCGCCGGCGCAAGCACTGGCCCAGGCCTTTTACGACACGGACACGCAGCTCAAGGCCCACTTGCGGCCGTCGTTGGAGCTCGGCTTTGGCGTCGTGAACCGCGTCGGAGCGTGCGGACTCCTCGCCTACACCCACGACGACGTTCTCTACATTGCCAACGGTACGCCCTCGCATGGGCAACGACCACTCGTGCCATCGCCGGTCTGTAGCTGGCGACGTGCGGGCGGTGCTCGGGCGTGTCGGTACCAAAGGCACGGTGCGCGCCACGCCACTTAGCCGCGACCACAACGCCAAGTACGCGCGCGAGCAAGAAAAGCTACTCGAGGCGCACCCCGGCGAAGACGACATTGTCGTGTGCCGCAGCCAAGACGCGTGCTACGTCAAGGGCGGCCTCCAGCCCACGAGGTGCGCTGCCTGCGTTGCAGCAACATCTCAACTGTTGTAGGGCGTTTGGGGACTTTGTGTTTAAAGATGCAACGTTCAACGGGTCGCCGTACCCCGAACGTCGCGGCGGCGGGCGCTACATGGCGCCGCCGTACACGCCGCCATACATTTCCAGCGTCCCGGAAGTGCACGTGCATAATCTGACGGCCGCCGACAAGTTTCTCGTCCTCGGTAGTCCCTCTTTCTGAGAAACCGATGCCATACCAAAATCGCAGGCAGCGACGGTGTGTGGGACTTTGTGACCAACCAACAAGTACGCGAATATCTACCAAATGCGATAGCCCAATGCGTATATTGTCTAGGCGGTCGACCTCGTGCAGCACTATGTTTCCATCGGAGAGCACGCACTAGCGAGCCAAGGACTGGTGCACCATGTCATCTCGCGCGCGGCCGCCGAGTACAGGTCTGCCCTTCTCACGCGACATCACCTTACGTCCTATCCAGGCAGACGATCGATGCGCTTGCGGCACTGCCGCCGGGGCGCGACCGGCGCCGACACCACGACGACACGACCGTGGTCATTCTCTTTTTTTGCTAATCATGGCCACGGCCAGGTCGCGGTTGAAGTGGGACAAGTAGAGATTGGCGCGAGCGTGTATCTCATCCCAGCAACGAGTCTTGAGATCATCGTCCATGCGTGGCCGCGCATTGAGAAAGAGCTTGGTTTCCAGCACACGGCCGTCGTCGAGGGCTTGGACGAGGATCCTAGTACATGCGACGACTGCAGTGCAAGTGGTAGCATGGCAGTGTAAGATACCACGCCGTCTTGGTGCGCGACGTCGACGTCTTGGCGCAGGTCGGGTACACGTGGTCGTCGTGGATGGTCTGGCTCACGTGCACAAACTCGGCGGCCGTCGAGAACGACCGGTACACGATGTTTTCATGGGCGTCGCGGCTGTAGATGGTGCCAGGTAGCTAGCAGACCCATTGAACGCTGCATGGGCGCAGAGGGGGTACCGCGTTGTCGAGGACGTGCCGGCCCGAAAGACCAAACTGAAACGAGTTGCGCTCGTAGAGACGATGGTACGCATTAGCGACGATCGCCACGGTTGTGTTGGGCAAGATCCGGCGCTGAACTAGGCGAAACACCACGTCGTCGCCGCGCAGATTGACGTCAAAGCTCATGACGTTCTCGATGGGGAGGCGCAAGCCGTCGATGACGGCATATCGGTGCACGTACAGCTGCTTGGTGACCCAGTCGAGGCCCAGCTGCCGCGCCTCGGGGTCCTTGTAGAGCGAGATGGGCGTGAACGACGGCGGCGCCGAGAGCGATGGCTACAAGAACGATCGATACTCGTTGCTACCAAAGAAAGAGCAGGTGGTCGTACCGGCACGGACGCGTCGACCCAGCGGGCCATGAGGAGAGCGAGGTGCTGCTGACGTGCGAGTTGCTGCATCAGGACGCGCTGGGCAGCTTCGCCCTCGGTGACGTCGTCACGCAGGGCGCGCGCGACCTCGGCCCATGGCAGCGCCGTCGGTGCGAGGCGCGCACTTAGGTCGGCTTCGAGGTCACTGACGCGGCGCCGAAGAAAGTCGAGCTGCTGCTGGACCTTGTGGCGGAACGCGCGCTTCTTGTCGCGGTTCACGCGGCGCTTGAGCGCGGCGGCGTCGGCCTCGTCCATCATCTTGCCGGCGCTGAATTCAAGCTTACCGTACACTAGGGTTTGTATCGGACAGGCGCAGGCGCAGAAGAACCAGGGCGAGTCCTGTCCTTGGCGCCGCTCATATCGACAGCGTGCGCCGACTTCGGCGGGCGCCATCAAATGACCACGCCAGTGCTGGATCACGTGGCATGGTGAGAGTGTGGTGCGCCAGCCGCTGCGTGATCACGGGTATGTACACGTCACTTCTGGCGCTTTGGTGCGTCCTAGTCCTGTCTGCCGAGTAGATTGGACTCTGGTATAAATGGACATATTGTCTATCACTTGGTTGACTGTATAACGATTGGGACAGGTCAATCAACAAGCCGTGGATCGGGCTAATGGGCCGTGGCGCGATCGCCGAGGTCGAGCAGCAGCATGGACGTCTGGAGCTCTTCGTTGACCGTCTCCATGAGCGTCGAGAACGCTTCGCCAAGGTGCTCCTTCAAAATGACGTCGACGGGCCGCGACTGTTGGCGCATCTGCTCGGCGTGGTACTCGCACACGCTCAAATTGGCCTCTTCGAGGAGCGAGAGGTACCCCTTCTCCTTCGTCCACGTCTGCGATTTCTGAAACACTTTGGTCTCCATGACCACATTATCGCCAATCACATCCAGCACGATCCTAGCGACGCTTTGATAACACGAGCTATGAGCGGCGTACCAGTTGGCCTTGTGGCGGTGCAGCGGCGTCAGCGGGTGCTTCGGGTCGTCGTGGATACTGTGCTGCACAAAGACTACGCGGTTTTCCGAGACAAACTCGCGGTGCACAAGGTTGTCGTTGACGGCGTGGTGGCGACTGTAGATAAACTCGTCGCCCAGGATCTACGCGGCAGGCTTGACGACAAGACTTGGAGCGGTCGGTGGCTTACCGAGGCGTCGAGGCGCTGCCGGTTGGCGGCCACAAACGGCATCGTGCTCGTGTGGCAGAGGCGCCGGTACGCCTCGAGGACGCGGTCGAGGCTCGCGTAATGAATGCACCGATCCCGGTAGATGTACTCGATGTAGCCCTTGGACGTGTCAAAGACGAACTCTTGCATCGGCGACTGGTCGCTCGGATGGAAGCCCATGCGCTGCAGTACCGAGTCGGTGTGGTAGTACATGTGCTGCGTGATCCAGTCGCACATGGCGCGCCGCGCCTCGTCGTTATCGCAGAGTCCGGCGCGGAACCATGTCGGGTACTCGTTCGGCCCGCGCTAGAAGGACGCGAGCGGATGAAATACGACAGCAGCACGCGGAAGGGCATGACCTACCTCGATGGGCTGGTAGATGGATTGCAGCCACTTGGTCATGGCATGCGTGAGTGCGACGCGGGCGCGGACGGTCGCGTTCAAGTCCTTGTTGGCGGCTTGGCACTCGGCGAGATCGTGCCGCAGCGCCAGCTCGACGTGGCTCCACGGCAAAAGCATGGATCGGCCCTTCTTGCGCGTCTGGAGCTCGGCCTCGAGCTCGGCCACGCGCCCGCGGAGGAACTCGAGCTGCTGATTCACCTTGCGCCGAAAGTCGCGCTGCTGGTTGCGCTTGAGGAGCCGCTTGGCGTCCGTGGCCTTGGCTGCGTCCTCGTTAGGGCTCTCCGAGTCGGTCGAGTCCCGCGGGCTACCGTTGCTCGTTGTCGTCGTCGTCGCTGCCTTGCTTGCCATGGTGCTGCCCGTGGTAAAATTACCGCCTGGTTCGAAATGGACATCCATTGTGCTGGTACAAATCTGATCTGGTGACCAGATAATGGCTGACAAAGTCCTTCCTGCCAGTTGCCTGCTACTGCATGGCCATGGCCAACCAAGCAGGCCGCGAGGGCAACTAGCTGGCGCCGTCTCGAGAGCGCGATCGCGGGCGGCTGCAATGCAGCGATGCGGCAGATTCGGCGCTGGCGGCAGTGCGTCGACGTGATTACCCGACCAGCACTCACTCTTGGCCCGCGATGTTGGTCGATCACCCGGGTGTCTCAACTCACTGCGCTCGGCGGCCGCAGCGCATCCAGTCGCTACAGCTCCAGTGCACACACATCGATCTCCCGCTGCGCTGGCTCGCGCGGCCTCTCTAGTGATGGCGTCGAGGCCGGCTTGACGGTTGACGTGCAGGAGAGACGGTTGGCTTCCAGTGTATGCATATTCTGTTTGCACATGTTCTTGTGGTGCGGCTATCCTGGACGTTTTCCAGTGTAAACGCGGCTACGTGGCAGCCTACCAGATGGTTCTGGTCGCATCTTGACAAATCGGCGAGGGCCGAACACGGGAGAGCAGTAGACAGACACATACTAGACGATGTCGAGCCCTGTGGACGTGACCTCGGACGAGTCGTGCGACGACGCCCAGCGCGTGCGCAAGCGCGATAAGCAGCGCGACTTTCGGCGCAAGGTCCACCACCAGCTCGAGTTCCTTCGCGGGCGCGTCACCCACCTCGAGACGACGCTGCGGGCCGCGCGCGCCAGAAAGGCCATGGTTCCACTGCCCTGGTGCGAGGTCGCGCGCGCCCTCAAGGCCGACGTCGTCGCGACCAAAGGCGTGCGCAAGTCGCTCCTTTTGCAAGCCGAGGACCACGCAGAGTTTCTCGAAGCCATGGTCAAGTGGGTCCAATCCCTCTCGCCCGAGGTACTCAGTGCATGCACCTCCTCTCTCGTTGTCGTCGTTACGACTCCGTCTCGGTAGCGATCGCCGTCGCGCTTTCCGCTCTGGTACAATGTCGGTCTCTGCGGCTCGAATGCGTCTCGACGCGCGGCCTTGGACTGGATCACGCAGCACATGTACCACCACACGCCCAGTGTGCTCCAGCACATGGGCTTCCACCCGACCGATATGACGCCATCGCAGGCGTTCATTTTCGACAACTCGAAAGGCTACATCGAGTACATTTACACGGACCGGCGCATCCACTGCCCCGCGACGCTGCCCAAGGTGCTCGCCGCGTACCAGCGGCTCTACTACGCCAACTCGGTCGACTTTGTCGTCGCCGGGCGCAAAGTCATGGACCAAGATGTACTCGGCTCTTGGCCTCGTTCTCCAAGAGGTTGATGGCGCTGTAGGAGCTCGGGAAGGACTTTATCTACAGCCGGCGCGAATTCAAAAACGAAAATGTCGTCCACCGCGAGTTTGTCTCGGACCGCCAGATCGTGCACGTCCAGCACAGCATCCACGACGACAGCAAGCACCCGCTGGGTGCGATCCACCGCCACCGCATGGCCTGGTACGCTACGATTTGATGCAACATGTCGTCTAAAAGTTGGACTAGGATCGTCCTCGAAGCTGTCGCGCCCAACATGGTGGTGGAGACCAAAGTGTTTCAGAAATCGCAGAGCTGGACCGAGGCCGCGGGGTACGTCTCGGTCGACGAAGAAGCGCGCATCGTGGGGGTGTTTGAGGAGCCGCACATGGACCAAGACGACTACGACATGCTGCCGCCGTCGGTCCAAGAGGCGCAGCTCCGCCAGCACGTCACGTCGACGCTCTCACGCTGCATGCAAACCCTCAACAATGAGCTCGAAATGGCGCTACAGCAACTCGACCTCGAGGACCCACCAGCGACGATCGAGGCACCACCTCGGGATGCGTCGTGCTGTCTGTACTAATACCATACACATGCCTAGTCGTCCTTCTCTCGTGGTCCTCGAAACAGGTCGAGCTTGCACCTTATGATCGCTCTTCTGCCGGCTAACACGACTGTATCCCGCACCCGATCACGCCATCAAATTAAACGAGTTCGATCGATGTAGCTTGGCGCGAAGCATGCTCCCGCAGCACTTGATCGAGTTCGTAGTTGAGGATCTTCATGCAGCGCGGATAGGTCTTGGCCATATGGAGTCGGAGCTGGTCTTCTTGCACCGAGAGCGGCAGCATGGCAAAGTCATCGCGGTCCACGGCCGCCTTGTACTCGTTGAAGTACCCCGTGAGGTCGGCCTCGACCTCGATGGGCACGTAGCCACTCTCCCGCATCCACGCTTGCGACTTGTGGAAGTACCGCGTCTCCATGACCACATCTGGCGCGATCGCATCGAGCACAATCCTGCGCGACGAGATCTGAGATGTCCAGAAACTGAAAGAACAAGGCATACCAGGTCGTGCGGTGGCGGTGGATCGCGCCCAGTGGGTGCCTGCTGTCGTCGTGAACGCTGTGCTGGACGTGCACGACCTGGTGGTCCGAGACAAACTCGCGGTGGACGCTACCGTCCTTTTTGGACTTGCGCCGGCTGTAGATAAAATCGTCGCCAAAGAGCTAGACAAGCCACCTCATATCGTGTGCAATGAGAGGAGGAGCACCTTTTGATCGAGGACCTTGCGACCCGCGACGACAAACTCGACCGAGTTGGTGTGGTAAAGGTGCTTGTACGCAGCAAAGACCCGCGCCAAGCTCGCGGGAATGAAGCGTCGGTCCGTGTAAATGTACTCGTTGTACCCTTTGGACGTGTCGAATACAAAATTCTGGCTCGGGAACCGGTCGGTCGGGTGAAAGCCCGCGGCGCAGAGCACCGTGGGCGTGTGGAAGTACATGTGCTGCGTGATCCAGTCCAAGGCCGCGCGGCGCGTCGTGTCGCTGCCGCCGAGACCGACGTTGAACCAGAGCGGATACGCCGACGGCGATCGCTACCACAATGCTTGGTGTTACGACGTTCCACTGATCACAAAAAAGTACCTCGACGGCCGGGTAGAGCGAGTGGACCCAGCGCAGCATAGCCTCGAGAAAGGCGGCTTGGTCGGCCACGGACGCCTTGAGCTTCTTGGTCGCGCGCTGCTCGACCTTGACGTCATTGCGCATGGCCCGTGCAACGTCGACCCACGAGAGCCCGAGCGCCTTGTCGCGCTTGAGCGTCTGGAGCTCGGTCTCGAGGGTCGCAACGCGGTCGCGGAGGAAGCTGAGCTGGTGCTGGACCTTGGCGCGGAACTCGCGCTGCTTGTTGCGCTGGAGTTCGCGCTTGGCCGCTGCGTCGCCTGGCATTTAAATTTGGGTGTGCGGTCCTTTGGGCCAATCACGTGATTGCGTAGGCGGAGAGAGCATCGTCATCGCACCACGTGGCACTTGGTGCAAACTGCAAATACGACCAACTTTACGGCCGTCCTAGTGGCCTGCCCAGCTTTGTTTGATGAGATACGACGACTTGAGGGTGAGGCAGGGCGGTCCACCCTTGTCCACCACAGAATCGATCTCTCTGTCAACAGCTCCGAATACCAAAATGGCAAAGCCACCTCGGACGCATCAGGCGCACTAGTAGCGAAACTACAGACAACGAACGACAACCAAACGGACACACCAACCAGAATGTACATACGCCAAGCCTTTGCGTCGGTTTCTGCTCATTGGACTTCAACGCAAACGCGTTTGATGATGGCGATGACGGGCCTAGAAAGGATGTGGGGGCACCCAGAGGCACGGGACTGACGTTGGTCGGTGGCAAAATGCCAGTGCCCACGCCGCAGTGGACGCTCATAGTATCGTTGCTGGTTCAAACCGCGGCAGGCACTCAGTTCTGACTTGTATCGACACAAATTTCCCACCGTACTACGAATGACATGGTGGTAAACACACGCAATTCTTTAATTCTACAACTGTACTATGGGGTGTTCGCTGCAACACAATCCAGTTCTCGCTACGTCACGCGTAGTAGGGCGAGTACTCGCGCTGGTTCAAGGCCATTTCGTGCAAGTACTTGTAGCTCGAGTGGTGCAAAATCCGATTTTTCTCGATCGAGACGATGCGAATGGTGCCGATCGCGCGGCTAAAGATCGTCCGCAGCAACGCCGTCGGAATGAAGCGGTAGACGAGCTCGTACTGGACGTTCGATGTGCGCGTGAGCACCGCGTCCGAGACTTGGAGCATGTTTTTCACCAAGAGGACGCCGTTGTCGATGCCCACGGCGCCGTCGTCGGTCGCCACGAGGAGACTGTACGGCGACGTGAGGATGCTGGAAAAGTCGGTGATCTCAAGGTACTGGAGCACCGAGTTGGTGGACGGCACGACGTAGGACTTGTGCACTCTGGCAGCGTACGCCGTGTGCGCGTAGACGCAGAGAATCGCAACCAAGACGACGCCACCGGACGCGATACCTGAGAGATAGTACGTGCGGTAGATCGCATCAAAGCTAAAGCAGTTGCTCGACGTCGCGTACCCACACGGGCCTGGCACGGTCTTGCTCATTTCTGGAAACACAAACGCTTCGAGTACAAAGACCAGAACCCAGTTGACGATGCTAAAGGTAAGAAGCAGCCACGTTTGCGTCACCAGTCGCGGGTTGAACCACATCTGGATGAGCGGACCGGTCATGATACCGACCACCGATGCGAGCTGCGCGGGGCCGAGCCACTTGTAGTACACGGGCGTCTCGGCACTCGGCCGCTTGTACAAGTACGTCGTCAGCGTCTGGAGGTTGTGGTTGCCGTAAAAGCTCACAATGAGGATCGCGAGGTCGACGACGGTCTTGGACATGTAGACGGGCACGCTGCAGACGACGCTTTGTCGCAGAAACACGAGCTGCAGCGCCACGAGGTACACGGTCAGCAGCCAGAGCACGATGCTGTTGGTGAGCATGAGCGCGTCGCTCTCCCAGACCATCGTCACCAATCCCTGCGTGTGCAGCAGCCAGCCAAGACCGGTCTCGACGTTCAGCGAGGCGCAGCTCGACTCGGGCAGCACGTCCCACGGCGCGAGCGTCCGCAGAATCCCGCGCTCGTACTCGTCAAAGAACGTCAGGGTCGTGAGCCGCATCGCGGTCGCGCCATTTCGGAACGTCGCGAGGTAGTTTGGGTTCAAGTAGACTTCGCGGCGCGGCGCGACACCCAGGTACGTGGCCTTGCCTTGGCTGGCGCGGATCGCGTACGTGTTGGCGTCCAAAGCAGCGTCGTTTTCGCAGATCCAGTTTGGGTCATACTTGCGCGTCGAGCAAAACGCGATCGAGTCGACCTCGGCCGTCGACGGCGGCGCAGACGACCGGTAAAAGGTCGCTCGCTTGATCATGCACGTGACGGCCATGGCGTGGCCGGGAATCGAGATCTGCACCATCGGTTTGTTCCAGCCACTCATGTTGTTGATGTGCTGGATCGTGACGGTCAGCGTCGGGTCCTGGAAGACGGGGTCGTCAAAATTTGGGATGAGCGTGAGGGCTTTGGCCACATGGCCCCATAGTTGGTTGCTCGTACTTTGGAAGCCGTTGGCGCACGTCGTGTTGCGCTTCCCACACGTCGCGTACACGAGCGTGCTCAGCGAGAGCTTGGCGTCGAACGGCAGCGACGCCGAGAGGTGCAACGTCGTCGTCCCTTGTAGGAGCACGGTGATCGGAATCGCAAACTTGTTGGTCGTATACGTGGCCGTGTTGAGCCCCATAAAGACTGTCGTGTTGGCGAGCGAGCTCAGCTTGCGCGTGCAGACGGCCACGAGCGTCGCAAAGACCAAGTAGAGCAGTGCCAGCACGAGTCCTTGGCGGTAGCGCTGCCGAGGCCGCGGCGCGATGAGGTCGGGCAACGGCGCAATGCGCTGAACCATCGCTGCACCGCTTGTGTCGCCAAGACGTTTTGCCGACTCTAAACGTAACCCCTCTGCCAGCCAAGCTACCGTCCCCTCTATTTTGGATGCAATCCCTTGGGAAACGACTCACAAAGGCGTACCACGTCCATCAACTCAGGCAGTGTAGTAGAAGACATCTACACGCCGCCCTTCGTGCGTGTTTTCTTCGGCGTGAGGGCAAGAGGTAGCTCAAGCTGTGGGAGAAGTAACAGCCACCAGTGGGTCGAGCCTCGATCTCCATTCAAGAGGTACCTAGTAGGTGCTCACAAACTCATTGTGTCTCCAGCCAGACTCATGTATCCGACGATCTTGGCGCCACTCGGTAGCGCATGAAACGGCCTATTCAAATAAAAACACGATGGACTCGCGCCGTTTGAAGCCCGGCAAGATGCAGCCCGCGCTGTCGTCGCCCAACCTCTTGTTACCGCAGAGCCGCGAAGAGTTCGTGCTCGAGTTTTACAACCCGCGCCTCCGCGTCGGGCGGGAAGGCGGCGGCTTGAGCGTAGGCGAATGATTTCATCGCTCTCGCTGGACCTGTGTTTTCGATAGGAGTCGATGAAGCGCGCGCTCACCGGGCTCGACCGCATTGGCCCAACGTCACCACAAATCAAGTGTGTGTCGTTTGTGGATCCGCTCGAAGATGCGGTCAAGCGCGATCTGCGCAAGAGCCACCTGTTGCACCCGCTGCCGTCTCTGGCGTCGCCCAAGAAGGCAGCCTCGACACCAGCGCGCTGTCAGCGCTGCTTCTCGTCCAACGTCGTGTATCTGCCGTCCTGCGCGTACTGCGAGAAGCTCCAGCTCCTCTCGGACGTCAACACGCTAGCGAAGCGGTATGCATTCAACCTCCTGGAACGCGAGCCGACGATCCCGCCGCGGCAGGTGCCAGAAGATCTCTCGTCGTCGTCGCGTTTGTCTTGACGTCCGTAGCTCCTCGACTTGGTCTTTGGCTACCTCTACGAGCTTCAAGACCCACTGACTGCAAAGCGCGACGTGCCAGCACAGCTCACCATGTAACATCCATGGCAATGGTCCTGGCGATGCAAGTAGCTCGTGTAGACCGAGCGACGTCCTCTCACTCGATGGCAACAATGGATCTGTCTCGAAAGACGAAGCTACGCAGATGATCCGCAGCGCCGAGGCGGCGCCCACCGCGCTGGCGACGACGCGCGACGCGATCCTCGAGCTCAAGCAAGCGCGTGCTTCGATCGTTGCGAGCAAAGTGGCCTTGTCGCAACCGACCAAGGTGTCGCTCGTGCAGTACCTGCTCGACACGTTTGCGCAGCCGAGCGGCGCGGGCGCCGACTGGACCCGTGAACAGCGCTGGGACCACCAAGACATGTGCGTCGAGATGCTCAAGCTCCTCTCGACCGACGACGTCGACGACGTGCTGCGGACGTACAATGCGTGGAAGCATGTGAACGAGGTCAACCAAAAGCAGCGCGCGATGGAGCTCGCGTGGAACCAGCGACTCTTCGAGACGACGGTAGTATTCGATGGTGACCTTGTAGAGACTGAGTGCAGTAGGAGGAGCCTCGGAATGTCCAGACCCCAGGGGAGGACGACGAGGAGGACGAGTGCGAGACGAGTCGCAACCTCGGCCGGCCACTCACTTTGCACCAGAAAAAAGCCAATCGCGTGAGCGTCTCCAAAGAGCACCGGCGTACGCTCATTGCACAGCACCATACCAGCCAGCGCAGCCTTCTTCTACAGTCCAAGACCGAGGGCGCGGCTGTGAGCCCAGCACCACATGTGGCCTTGAAGGAGCTACCAACGTCTGCAAAGGAAGCACTGGGAACGATGAGCGAACCTGAAATCAGCCTTCCGCAGCTCTTCTTGACCGCCGAGCGGTACCAAACAACGTCGAGCAACGGTATGTTTCACATCGACCACCTCGGGCTCCTCGAGCAGGCGGGGCTTTCGACACACGACCTCACTACGATCGTCAAGCTCGGTATAGACAATATTATCCATCCTACTCGTATGAAGAACCGTCGTGTAGACCGACGCACGCAAATGGTGTACCTCTTGGCCGACGAGAGCGACCGTACGACGCTGCTGCATCTCTCGTCGCTCGGGCGCGTCAACCTCGTTGCCGAGTGGCTTGGGCGCAATGTCGACAACGAAACACTCCTCATTGCGGCGACATCGGCAAAAGGTCAGCTCCTGAGTACCGACGAGCGCCGTCTCATTCTGGCCATGGACGACGCCGACGTTCGATACCACCTCAGCTTTTGGAAGCAACTGCAGCACCAGCGCGCGCACAAGAAGGTGGCGACGTCGGTGCATTTTCTGCACCTCAACTTGCCGCACCACGAGCGCGACGCGTTCTTCCGCGTGCCACGCTACTGGCAAAAGCTCATCAAAGCCCGCGATCTGAGCGTCCAGCCCATGCCGATCGCAGTCATTCGGCCGTTTGTGCTGCAGCTCTACATCCGTTGTGCCCAAGAAGACGTCGACGAGTACGACTTGGCCGAGTTTGTCGTCGAGCACATGACGTTATCGTTTGGGGCAGCGACGCCCCTGCGACTGCAAGGCTTCATCACAGCCCTCGAGCAGTACCACACCAAAGACACGTGGCTGTACACGTTTTGCCGCTTTTGCCACGTACCCTCCTCTGTGCATTCGACTTACGTTCGATTATATGCTAGATCACCGAGCGATTGCCCGCGGGCTGCTTTCGGTTCTACCTCTCGGCGGTGCTCTGCCTGCGCTTTAGCACCCCGAATCGATCGCAGATCGCCGACTATGTTGTCCCGCGAGAGCTCTTCCACCCGCTCCTCGCGACCAAGGCCAAGATGGCGCTGCAAGCGATCGCGCGGGATGCCCACGTCCGCGACGAACACTGGCTCGCGACGTTCACCGAGATGCGGACCGTGTGCCCGCGCACCAAGGGCGTCGTGAGCAACCACCTCTACGTGGTCGGGCTCTCGGTCTTTATGGACCTCGTGCTCGGCATTTGGGAGGCCAACCGCGAGAGCATGACCAAGGAGATGCGCGTGCTCTTTGAGCAGTTTGACACGGACCACAGCAAGAGTCTGAGCTACGCCGAGTTCAAGGCCTTCATCACGCACTGCAGCGCGAGTCTCGAGGCCAAGAGCCGCCCGCACTCGCCACTGCGCCGGGCGTCCTTGAGCTCTCTTCTTGGACCTCCAAAAGCCCGCCCGGAACGCCGCCCCGCCGGCTCGTCGCCCAAAGACGAAAAAGACATTATCAAGCTCTACGCCAAGTGCCTCATGCAGTCGGACAAGGACGAGGTCAACGTCGAGTCGTTCGTGCTCGGTGGTCTTGACAGTACGTTGGCATCGCCGTCATGCTAGTAGCTACACCTCGTGTAGACCCGCTCATTTTGACACTACTGGGGTTTCCCGTGCCACCGACGCACACATCGGCAGCTGGCATCATGGCGCTGCAGCTCGTCACGCGCGCGGTTCGCGCCTACATTCAGCGCAAGCGAAGTCGTGCAGCGGCCAAGGCCAAGGCCGCGTAGACTACAATAGCTGAACGAACGCTGCAGTTTGCTTCGTATCCTGCTGCCGTGGTCCTAGCGGCCGCATTCGTGGCTGTGACGGCGTGGGACCAAGCGAGGACGCTGCATCTGCTGGCCATGGTTGAAGTAGCTTCCCAGGACCCACTCCCATGGTCCGACCATGCTTGCTTGTTCCCGCTTGCATTGCTTGGGCTCTGTGCACGAGGTACATCACATTTGTTGGCTAGCGACGCGTGGCCATGCATCGCAGCGCAGTAACCTCCATAGCTGAGTCGAAATCATGTACTGTGGCATCGAGATCCAAGGAGTGGGATCGCAGATCGCGATGGCTTCGCCCAGCCCCATCAAGATCTTCCTTGCATGGACCAGTCGAGCGCGTCTTCATGTCGCCGTTGCCGTCTAGCGAGATGACCATGGTCGCCTGGTGCGCGCGGGTTGCGTCGTCGGCTGCGTGCACTGGTGGCGGGCGGTGTGTGCCCCACTCAAATTGGATCTGGTCGTGACCGGATACGTATAAAACTATCCGGACTGCAGGTTGATCTTCAATGCATTTTTCCTTTTGCCAAGAAGCAGCAGCGCAGCGGTACGAGGACGCGAACGACCGCGCCTCATGGAGCTTCCTCGTAGGTAGACATGCCCAAGATCAAGACGCGATCGAGGTCCCGGAATGTTGAAGCTATCGTCTTCCTCCTCGACGACGTCCTCTACGACCATACGGGGACCTTGAGCTTCCTCGCGGTCGAGCGCGCGGCCAAGCAGCTCGTCGAGGTAGGTGGAAGGGGCGCGGACGGACACCAAGGAAGACGAAGACAATGATACGTAGGAAGGTGCATTCGAGTCGTGGGACGACGCCCATATCGCCCTGCGCAAGTTCCGGGAAGCGTTCGGCTACCGCCAGAACTTCCAGCGCTTCATCGAGGACCTTGTCTCGGCCGGGCAATTGACCCAGGGCGCAGGAGCTCGCGTCCTCACCGCGTACAATGCACGAGCCTTCGTCCTCGGTGCTCCGCACATCCTTCCGTTCCCTCACACGGTCGATACGCTGGACGAACTGCAAGCCATGGGGTACACGTCTGCGCCTGTATCGGATCCATACTCATGGACTACGTAGGTACAAGCTGGGTTTGCTGTGCTCAGGAACGATGGAAGCGCAGTGGGAGAAGATCCACGCGCTCGGAATCGCGTCCTGCTTTGATCACGTCATGGTCGTGCCCTCGGGCAACCTATCGGGCGACGGCAACACAGCGAAAGTGCTTCCTGTACGTCTGCGATCCGAGAACGTCCAGCACCTTCTCATGCAACATTGTAGGTGATCCGAGCAATGGCCAAGGAGCTCAAGGTCTCAATCTCCAAGATGGCGCTCGTCGGTCGCCGCGTCTTTGCCGAGCTCAAGGCCGCCAAGCAGCTGGGCATCATCACGATTCGCATGGTGCGATGAGTATCCTTTGCTCCTCGCTCATCCATTTTGGTGACTAGAAATACGGCAAGTACTCACGAACCATGCCTGCGGACGACATGGAGCAGCCAGACTACCAAATGTCCACGATCGAGCAGCTCTTGGCCATCTTGAAGCTCATCGAAGAGCGGCGACCACGACCAAACATCGTTGCGCTTGGGGGCGGCACGGGCCTCGCTGTCCTCTTGAAAGCGCTGCGCGACTATCCCGCCGACCTCACAGCAATCGTCACAGGTACTCTTACCAAAATTGAACCCGGGTTTTATCAACACTCCTATAGTCTTTGACTCTGGGCGACACTCGGGAACGCTGCGCAAGTCCCTCGGAATTCTGCCACCCGGCGACATTCGCAACTGCCTCGTGGCCCTTTCAGATGCGGGTATCATTCACTTTCTCTAAGAGCATGTTCGGCTCACACAAACATGTGTTGCGCAGATCAACTCATGCACCAGCTCATGAACTACCGGTTCCAGGAAAACTACCTGGAAGGCGCGAGCTTGGGCAACCTCCTCCTCGCTGCCCTCACCGACATCCACCAAGGGTCGTTTGACAAGGCCGTCGCATCGGTCTCGGAAATCCTCAACATTCGCGGCCAAGTCTTACCGGCGACGCTCGACCAGTCGGAGATTTGCGCAACGCTTCAAGACGGCTCGACCGTTGTTTCCGAAGTCAACGTCCGCGACCCCAACAAGCCGGCGCCCATCGAGCGTGTGTACCTCGAGAACGCCGAGAACGTCCACGCCTACCCTGCCGCAGTCCAGGCGATTGAAGACGCCGACATCATCCTGATCGCACCTGGCGGATTCTACACGTCGATCATTGCGACCCTTCTCGTGCCCGGTACTTGAATCATGCTCATCGAGAAGCGACCACTCACAACAACATGCATAGGCATCAAAGAAGCCATCGCGCGGTCCTCGGGCGCTGTCGTCTACATTAGCAATGTCGCGACGCAGAATGGGCAGTCGGACGGGTACACGCTGCCACAGACGCTCGACATCTTGAACGAGTACCTCGGGACCGACGTCATCGACTACGTCATTGCGAATAACGCAGTGCCCGAGACCTCGGTGTTTGAGAACGGCGAGACGCTACTGTTGCCGACGCAAGCGATGGAGGATGCCGAGCGGCCGATTCTTGTCCAAGGCCGCGCTTTCCAGGACATGTCCAACTTTACGATCGAGTGGAAGAAGGTGCCCATGATCAAGCACTGCGGCAAGATGATCCTCAGCATGCTCTACCGCATCATCGAAAAGGAAATGGATGGTACGATGCAGCTCCGGTCACGCAGCCACTTTGTCCGGAGCCCGTCGGGCTTTACGCCTCGGTACGCAAGGCAACAAGCAGCGCAGCTCTCGTACGACCAGCCGCTCTCGCCCAAGTGGCGCGTGCGCCGCCACCGCGCCGACGAGAGCACCAACCACCTCTGGAAGCTGGGGCTCGGCCTGGCGTTCGGAGCTGTCGTCGTCCTCCAGCACCTGCGCACTCCACGAGCGTAGCCATCCTCGTAATAAAAAGCCCGTTCCGCAACATCCCCACGTCTTGTGCATCTCGTCGCCTGCTGGATGATGCTAGGTGGTGGGAACGCGACCGAAGCAGATCGATCGACGTCCTGCTCGTTGCAAGACTTTGGTTGACCATCGCCCTCTTCCACGTGGGACGTCGTACCGTTGGACCCATCTGGCGTCGGTTCCCATCGCCCGTTTCTGCCTGCGCTGACGCCAGCATATACAGGCCCCGGAAGCGGTCGCCATTTCTGCCGACGAAGGTCTACCTCGCAGCGTCGCCGTCTTGTTCGCATCTCCATTCTCGGCGTCGTCTAGCATCAGCCGGCCATAGACCCGACGCCGGGCGTTTTCTAGAACGAGACCGCGCCCCGTGTCTCTCGCCGGATACTTCTATCCGGCAGCGAGCTTCGCTCCACCCGGCGAATCCGGATGGGGATGGTATCCGGATACGGAGGCCAGTTTTGTGGAAGCTCATTCGCCAAAAGCAAGTCGCTCGCAGAGGGAGAACAGAAGCATGTCGACGGCCGCGAGACGAAGATTGATGCGCGACTTCCGGAAGCTCCAGAACGACCCGCCGTCGGGCGTCTCGGGCGCGCCGCTGGACAACAACATCATGGTGTGGCAGGCGGTCATCTTTGGCCCGGACGACACGCCGTGGGAGGGCGGGACCTTCAACCTCCTCCTCGAGTTCAGCGAAGACTACCCGAACAAGGCGCCGTCGGTCAAGTTTGTGACCAAGATGTTCCACCCCAACATTTACAACGACGGCCAGATCTGCCTCGACATTTTGCAAAACCAGTGGAGCCCCATCTATGACATTTCCGCGATCCTGACCTCGATCCAGTCGCTACTCTGCGACCCGAACCCGAACTCGCCCGCCAACTCGGAGGCCGCGCGCCTCTTCCAAGAGAACCGCCGCGAGTACAACCGCCGTGTGCGCGAGATTGTAGAGCAGAGCTGGGCCGCCATGTCGTAAAGCCCGTCGATAGATTTATACATTGAAACATGCAGCACATCAGCACATATTTCGCTCTAGCTACATGGGGAAGGGCGCCCGCGCGTTGGCAGCGACCGACGACTGCAGCATGTTGCTCGTGTCCATGGTCGGGTTGAAGTTGCAAGAGCCTTGCTGCGTAATCGCGGCCAGTGGGATATCGCAGCCAAGGTCGCGCAGCGCCGCGTACGCCTCGTCACCGCACCCACGCAGGGGCATGGCGTGGCGCAGCATGAGTTCAACCAGCGGCTCTTCCAGCACGAGCGGCCGAAGCTCCTCGTTCCGCACGACCATATTGCGAAGGGCGAGACTGGCTTGGCTACACCCAGTCGCATGAAGAAGGTTCAGTCCGCAATCCATGCACGTACCGAAGCAGCGACGGAAGACCGGGAAAGGACGCCATGGCCGTGGCGACCCAGACGTGGGCGCGGAGACTGACGACCTTCTGGCAGTTGACCGGCGAGCGGAGGCACACGGCCGCGATCGTCGCGCAGGCCATGGTCTGGATGCCAACGTCACTAGCATGCTCCTGCATCGTCGCTAGGATGCTGGGCACCATGGTCGTGACCACGTGCTTGTACTCGTCGACACCGGCAATGTTGCGCAAGAGCCCGAGGCTGTGCTTGATGACGCCGCGGTGCTACCGGCATCGTTGGCTTCCCCATCGATGCATCGCAAGTACCTTGGCATGGGTCGCCTGGAGGTTGGGCACAAGGTCCAACGCGCCGCTGTCGACGATCTTGCGGCAGTTGTCTTCGGTCACCGCGAGTTGCTTGAGCACAGCGAGCCAGACCGCGACCGTGTCGGCGTCCGACGCGACCACACTTATGTGCTCAAAGGTCATCGGGATGAGCGACTCGTCCACGAAGAGCTTGACAATGTCGTGGGCCTGGGAAAACATGGCTGTCCTACGCCGTCAGCATCAGCATGACATACCCTCCCATGATGTCACGCACGGATCGTCGTTGATGGTGAGCGTGCGGATGAGGTCGCCAATGTGCTTGGTGTCGGTCGACTCCTTCCGCGTCTCGAGGAGCGACATGAGGAGGCGGATCCCGGCGGGGTTGAGGTGCTTCTTGTTGCTCTCGTGCTTGGCGCAAATGGTCTTGAGCGCGGCGAGGGCGGCGTTCTGGACCGGCGTCGCGGCCGTCGGCGCCGCAAGCGCCTGCAACTGCAGAATACCGTCGACGCCGACAAAGTCTTGGTTGTCCTTGACACCGTTGACCATCGCGTGAAGCACGACTAGCGTCTGCATCTGCATGCTATGGTCAACGCTGCCCTGCAAGAGGCCCAGGAGCACGGTCGTGCCGTCGTTGCGGCCAGCCATCTCTTTGGCGCTCGTCGCCGCCGCCGCATCGGCCGCGCGAAAATGCGTGAGGAGGATCGTGTAATGCGGTAGCGCTTGGTCCAGCGCGACGACATCAGCATCGGCGGCGAGCGCGCGCAACGATTCGAGGGCGACGACGACCGGATGCACGACCGACGTGGTCAGCGCCTTGACGATCGAGCTCAAGTCGACGCCTTGGGACTCGAACTGCTTGATGGCATCATCGACAGCTTCGTCTTCGTCCATCTCGAACTCGTCCATGTTCTCGCGCACGCAGTCGTTGAACGTCTCCTGCGTGATCTGCTTCTTCGCCTGCTTCGTCGCCATCGCTCGTCAATCCAAAGGAAATCCTTCTGCGTCGACTAAAACGCGTCTTTCAACGCGTTTTTCTCGGTATGGAAACAGCGTATCCGCCCAAACACTGTTTTTATGCGCTTTTGCGAAACAGTGTTTTCAAAATCAATATCACAGAACTTTGGAACCCGAGTCCTCCGAGGATTTGCATTGGATTCTGAATATAGCCCGAAGCTAGAAGCGACAGCTCCGATAGCCCGCCAATTCGGTAGCTACCAGCTAGCTACAGTACCAGTACCGGCTATGGTTGCTGCAAGAGCACGCTGCCAACGCCGCTGGTATCTTGGATGCTTCTTCTTATCTCCGGAAGAAGGTCTGGGGCATGGACGAGACGCGGCTACTGGACAAGGATTTTGCTGCGTGGCAAACTCAGCCCAACGTGGAGCGTAGCGCGGCGCGTCAACAAGCAATGGGGCAATCTGGATGCAGTATTTGCAGCCAGGTTCGTTTTCTCTGGAATCTGGGTCGCGAATCTGGACCGACTGAAAACCAGGCGAGACGTGGCTCTACGCCTGCTCTGTGTAATACGCGGGGTCCTTCGTCGCAGTGCGTGGAGATTGCACGGCAGTTGCGAACCAGGTCGATATTGCTAACGCTGCACGCAAAAAAGACACTTTGGATGAATAAAAGAAACGCATTGGCGAATAAAAGACGCGCGGTTCATAAACCCGACGCATTTCGTCGCGCCCCGGATCGCATGTTGCCGAAGCGTCGCGTCATCCTAATTCGTGGCACGAATAGTGGTAAAGACGCTACGTTAGTTAATTAATTCGTACTTAAAATAGACAGATAGGAAGGAGTTCCAGTCGCTTCGACTGCGATCATGGGAGTGGGCTGGCGGCTTGTGGGCAGTTGGCAGCGGATGGGAACCGGTGCATGCAAGGGCAGCGTCTTGGGCGGAATGCAGTAGAGATCGTATGGTACAAGGTGGCGGGGCGCGCTTAGAGGAGCTTGAGCACATACGGGTGCTGTAAGACGTCCTGGAGCGAGCAGCGCTTGGCCGGGTTGATGCAGAGCATCTTCTCGAGGAGGTCGCGGGCTTCCTCAGGCACAAAGTCGTCGAGGTCCCAGACGTAGATGAGGCGTCGCAGGCCGTGGCGCTTCATGTACGCATAGCTTTCATCGAGCTTGGAGGGCACGTTGAAGAGAGGCACGCCGGTGAGGAGCAAGAAGAGGACGACACCGAGCGACCAGATATCGGCCTTGACCGGGTCGTACGGTGCAATGTTGTCAAAAACTTCGGGCGCAATGTAGTAGGGCTTGCCGACGCGCTCGTTCGGGCGCGCATTGATGTCGACAGCGAGGCCAAAGTCGCAGATCTTGGCCACGTTGTGTTCGTCGACAAGGATGTTCTCGAGCGAGAGGTCGCGGTGCGCAAAGCCAGCCGCGTGGATGAACTTGAGGCCGGCGAGTACTTGGGCAAAGTACATCTCGGCCTCGTGGCGTGTGAACGTCTTGGCGGGCACGCTCTCCATGACGTCAAAGAGCGCGCCTTGGCTGCAGTAGTCAAAGACAAAGTGGTCGTAGCCGTCTTCGACAAACTCGTCGCGCAGAATGAGCACGTTGCGGTGGCCGCCTTCGGTGCGCAGCACCTGGTTCACGTGCTTCTCAAAGGTCGCGTTCTCGAGCACGTGGCGGCTTCGGACCAGCGTCCGGTGGCTAGCAGCGGCGCGCTGGTCCATCTTCTTGATCACGACCTGCTCCTTGGCGCGGAGGTCGCTGCAGAGGAGGATGTCGCCGTAGAGCGCGGGCGCGAGGACCGAGTCGACTACGTAGTCGTCCATGGTCGGGCTGTGAGGTGGCTGATGCAGATGTGGGAAATCTCAATGTGGCAATTTGGCTTCGGCTGAAATCTGAAACCGGCACACGATTTTTCGGGCGCACCTGCCCTGGCTACACAATTCAATCCATTCGTTTTATGTTATCTTGGTGTTTGTATTGTAATACACGTAATATAAAAACATCCGTGCGCCGCTGCTGCTTCTGCGACTGATGGTGCCTTTGTGATTGGCTAAAAAGTAGCCAATGAGATGGCTGAAAAGGCGAGATGCGGCCCAATTTGGTTCTCGGCCAAACTTCGTAGTTCTCGAACGTGCACATTGCTGCAGATTTGCATGGGGCCGTGTGAGTTACACGAAGTTCGAAGTTGACGCACGGGCAATTCCAGATTCGCGCGTGCCGACATCGAAGCATCACAAGAAGATTCAGGTCGCGGAGCCAGCGCCGCAATTATTACTGCGCTCACCTGTGCTTCGTAGACAACCGCCAGCGTCGCAGACACGTCGTAGAGGCACGCGCTGGCCAATCGGCGGTGGCACAGCGACCCAATCAAACCGTCGAAAGTGGATCTTGAGCAGGCGTGCGTAACGCGTTGGCGGGTCGTGGCGGCCCGCGTGCTACTTGCGCGTCAACGGCTCGGCAACGTGTTATGGACATGGTCTTCTGCCGCTGCAACCGGTGCCGCCGAACCTTACTGCGGCGGTCGTCACGTTGTCCACAGCCTCGTGTTTATGACCGTGCTTGGTCGTCGCGCTGGACAAGGCCGGAATGCACCAGAGCCATGGCGCCACGTAGCACTTTGTAAATTTCAACATTTTTGAGCGGCGTCAACAACGCAGCGGTGGTCACCGCCATGGTTGACTACGCGTGCGGGCCGCGGGCCGCGACAGAGTGGCCCACAAGAATCATTCTACGGCTCGCACGCCCGCCGTTCGATTGCGTCTGAGCCTGACGATCACCGCCGAGATTTTTGGCTTCGAAAGCTGCTTTCGCAATCACTTGTTCTCACCAACATGCCATCCGGTATGAGGCACGGCGCCTCCTGCGGGCTCGCATGCCGATCCTCTCTCGTGACAAGTACTAATTGGTTGCAGTTTACATCGAGTAGCCCTCTGAGTAGCGCTTGGTTCGTCGTAGCGCCTATGCTTGCGATCACCAAATGTACACTATTTATATCGAGCACTATGAACACTAATTCAAGAATTCGTCAACCGACGGTCTCTGCCCCGGGGTCCAGTATATATTTTTGTCATAATTAATGTCGACTCTGTATTTGTATGTAAAATAATGAAAATAAAAAATGGTCTGCGAGTCGCCGACTTTGAGCGCAACAGAAACGACAAAATTCATTGCTTGCGATGGAAGCCGCGGTCCTCGGGAGCATGAGCCGCCTCAGCGACTCGGTCTCGCTGTACGTCAAGGACGCCTTCTGGGTCTTCGTCGTCTTCATGGTCTGCTGCCTCGGCGAGCTCAGCATCCCGATCTTGCTCGTCATCGTGTACATCTTCCACCGACACGTCATCCACCAGCGCCACCGCCGGTGGCTCGACCTGCCCGAAGCTTGCCGCGACGAGATTCTCGCCATCACCGCCACCGTCTCGCCGCGTCCGCCCGACATGACCAACGACCTCGAGTGGTTTGGCCAAAGCGAGCACTTTACGGCGAGCCTCCACGCGACGATGGCCAACCTCCGGGCCAACAACCCACGCATGCCCTTTGCCCGCGACTTCTTCTCGGCCTTTGACAACGCCGTCTCGGCAGAGACAATGGCGTACGCCCAATGGAACCTCCTCCGGACCACCGACCGCTATCTCGGGTTCCAAGACACCAAGGTCAAGGTCGAGGTGATGGTGCAGCATTACCAGAGTCAGAAGCAGGCGTTCGAAGAGCAGGTTCAGGCCAAGCGGGAGGCGCTGCGCCTTCGCCTTCGCCGCGAGCTCAAGTGGAAGCGCCTGCCCGAGGACGACTGGGAAGAAGACAAAGGCAACTGGTTCAAGAAGGTCTGGAAGCTATGGGCACCGCCCAAGCCGCCCAAGGCCGAGCCTACTCACGCCCCCGTCGTTGCAAGTGACGACGACGCGTGCTGCATCTGCCTTGAAGAGTACGACGGCTCCAAGGAGCTCATCCAAGCCAAATGCGCCCACATCTTCCACGAAGACTGCCTCCTCGAGTGGCTGCGTCAAAACTCGACCAACAAATGCCCATACTGCCGCGCCCCCATTCTCAAGCCCACGTTTCTCCAGCAGTTCTTCCAGTAGCGTGAGAGAATGTAGCCGCATCTTTAACTTATCAAACTTGTATATCTTTTCTCTCGGCCTTTCCAGCTCGTGAGGCAAGTCGACACCCGCAGGTGCCTTTTTCAAGTCGGTAGACAGTCCAGTCCGCACGACTGTGCCTCAAGGAGCTAGATACCAGGTCTGGCTCGATACTCTGCCACCAAGGACTTACGTGTGAGAGCAGGTGTGAGAGCTCGTGTCCACCTAGCCGACCGCAAATCTTGCTCCTTCAGCGTAACAAGACGTGGCGAAGAGACCAGTTAAAGTTGATCTACTCGCTCATAAGACCAGCGTTCTCACAACGTGCTCGCACGTCGGCCAGCTTAAGACGATGACGCAACTCTCACGGCGTTTAGGACCCAGACGTGCGACTAGCTACCGTACTATGCTGTGCACTCTGCCACCCAAAGTCAACGAGCAGAACGACTATAACCTAAATGCATGTATCGGTGCAGGAACTCGCGAGCCATCATCCGTACTAACTTGCTTGGTCCACAAGCTTGGGAAAGGACACGCTGTTTCTGAAGACCGTCACTCCTATGCCCTCGTGAGTGGTGGTCGTATCCGAGAGGCTTGGGACACGCGAACGTTCGGCGAAAGCGCGCGCCGGCGGCCGGCCGATCTTGCAAGTGCAATGTCATTTCTCAATTCACCACCAAGTGCCATGACTGCCCCAGCCCCGTGGAGTGCGATTGCATCGCCGCCCGCCCGCCCGCTCAAGGACATCATGGACGAGACGCTCGCGCACGAGCTCGCGACTGCGCCGGCCCCAACAACGCCACCGGCGACCCCAATCGACAGCGTCGTCGAGAGCGACATCTCGACGGATGCCGACTTTGCGCTGGCGCTGGCGCTGCAAAACGAAGAGCAGCAGAGTCCGTACACGGTTGATTATGAGCGCCTCATGCACGTTGGCTCGGCGTCGGTCGAGAACGATGAGGACGAGGACGAGGTGCGCCTCCACCTCAAGGAGCGCACCAAGCGCAAGGACGTCCGCCTCGCCAAGCAGAGCACCAAGCATGCGGCAAAGAAGACGACCAAGGCACCAACGGCTGCCGATGCCTTTGGAAGCGCGCTCCAGTCGCAGCAGCTTCTGCTCGTGACCGGGTCGCCCGAAGACATTGCGGCACTGAAGGCCTTTGCAGCCGAGAAGGCGCCGTCGCTTCAGTGTGCCCTTGTGCTCGACGCGCGCACCGGTCCCGAGTACCAGGATCTCTTGGTGCATTACGAGACGGGCGTGGACAGCAGCGACGGGACGTGGACGCCGCTCTCGACGCTCGTACCATCGTCGGCCTAATGCCCCACTTAATCTAACTAATACTTTGCGGTCCTTACAACGACTGTCGTTCTTTCATAGCACGCGCACTGTATATAATCCAGTGTATAGCCTTTGTCAAACTTATACGAGGATACTCGGGGGTGAGCGTTGAACCTGCATAGATGCTTGTACGTTGTGCTTGGTGGAGCGATGCGAGAAGAGAGATGCGAGCAGTCTCCTGCCCCCGACCAAGCCCCCGACCAAGCCCCCGACCAAGCCCCCAACCAAGCTCCCGGCCAAGCTCCCAGCCAAGCTCCCGACCTCGACGAGGTCCAAGACCAAGACATCGAAGACGCGCTCCGGACGGTCCCGGCGTGGACATCTACGCTGAGAAGATCCAGGACCTCTTTGAGTTCGAGAGTGAAATCGCGCAGGGTCTCATCTAGCAAGGCGCGACTTCGTTCGAGGTGCCCTATGACCCCAGCAGCACTGGCAGTGGTCACACGTTTACGCTTCGTCTCTTCTTCTACCGCGTCCATCGCGGAGCTCTCTTCTCCACCACCAGGTCGTACGTCGTTCAACACTAACATCGTGATGCTTGGTCTGCGCTAATATATATAGAGAGAGAGCAATCACTGCCTAGACAAAGCCTCCTTCCTCTTCTGGTCGCGTGTCCAGAATGTGGCTCGTGTACACGACCAGATACGCGTTGGCGCCAATCGCAAGCGTGAGCACCCACTGCAGCATAACCAGATACCACTGGCGCACGATCGTGGGCGGTCGTGGGCGGCGCACATACCCCGTCAGCGTCAGCGCCTGGAGCCGCATCTCGACAAATGGTGGCCAAGGAGCGGCCCGAGCAGGCACGCGACGTCAAAATGGACGACGTAGCCGAAACCCTAGCCCTCTTGCGACACGCCACTACGACTGTAGACCACACGAGGATACAGCGTGAAGTGGTTATATAGTTATATTAGATCATGATGGCTTCGTCGGAAATGAGTTCTTCGCCGTCATCGTCGTCGTCGTCGTCGGTTGCCGAGAGCTCAAAGGGCGCCGGAAGCGGCTTGGTCGCGACCGTCTTGGTCTCGTCACACACAATGTCTTCGAGGCCAGCGCAGAGCGTCTGGAAGACGTCCCGGAATGCAAAGACGTCGCCGGCGCGGCGGCGCAGCTCGGCCATCCACACGGTCGCGTCGTCGGTCGGGTGCAGCACGAGCGCGGCCTCGACACGGTCACCGGCGTCGGTAGCGCACTGGAACTTGGCCTTGGCCTCGCCCGCCTTCCACGTCGCAGCAACAAACGCCGACGTCTTCTCGCACGCCGCGCGGAACCGCCGGAGGAGGTCGTCCGAGGACGGCGCGACGCAGCGCAGCGTCGTGTAGGCCGTGATCCCCGAGGCTTCGATCGTCGGCAAGAAGAGCGTCGGCGGCGCCGGAGCAAACGACCGGTGCACGCTGCGGTCAAAGGGGTTGAAGGTGCCCGAGGTCGGCGCGGCCGCTTCCTTTTGTTTTTGGAGGCGCATCTTCTCGGCTTGGACCTTCTCGGTACGTGTCTTCATCTCAAGCGTGAGCTCGTCGTCCGGCAAGACGGGCTCGTGCATCCACGGGTGCGCCCAGATCTCGGGCAGCGTGATGCGCGTCGCAGCCGACGTGTCAAAGATGCGCGTGAGGAGGTCCATGGCCATGGGCGAGAAGACGGCTGTGCGCGCGTGGGCAGCCCAGAACGCTTGGTACTGCTTCATTGAGCAAGCACGGAACCACCAATCTTGGCGCGTCGCAATCTGGAACGGCGGGAACCCGGCGAGGAGGATGAAGAGGACGACGCCGGCGCTCCATATGTCTGCGGGCGCGCCTTCGTACGGGTTGCCCGAGAGCACTTCGGGGCTCATGTACGAGCGCGTTCCGCACTGCGTCAGGAGCTCACTGGATTGATCGCCGAGCGCCGAGAGGCCAAAGTCGGCAATGCGCAAGAGATAGCTGTGGTCCATGAGGAGGTTCTCGGGCTTGATGTCGCGGTGGAAGACGTTGTTGCTGTGGCACGCGTGCAGACCGGCGACGAGCTGGCGAAAGTACGTGCGCGCAATCTCCTCCGAGAAGCTGCCCGTGTACATCATAAAGTCAAAGAGCTCGCCGCCCGACGCGAGCTCGAGGACGACGAGCACGACCTTTTGGCTGCCGCCCTTCTTCTTCGGGTACTCGACGTCCTTCTTCACGGCGAGGAGGCGCAGCACGTTCGGGTGCTGCACGCGCTTCATGGCCTCGATCTCGCGGAAGAGGTTGTGGCATGCCTTGTTGCTGAGCGACTCGGCCTTGATGAGCTTGAGCGCGACGGCCTCGCCCGTCTTGACGTCGATACCGAGCTTGACCTTGCCCTGGAGGCCGCTCCCGAGCGTGTGCTTGACTTCGTACTGGTCGAGGAGGACACGCATGTGGGCGAAATCGATTTATGGCGTCTGGAACTGTCGACGTGTCGATATAGAAATTCAGAGGTGGAGCATTCACTCTCTCGGAGTGCGGGTCTTTGAAAGTTTTCAAAAAAATACATACGGTGACCAATGCATTTTTTCAGAACGCGAGTGATGGTGGCCAGCGTCCCAGACGACGACGGGGAGTGCCAAGTGACAAGGTTAGCCATCAACGAGGGTCCGCCCTCGATGTCAATAGGACACTTCGTGGGACAACGAAGCGCTAACCAAGGCGGCATCATCGTAGCGCAAAAAATGAGGCGGCAGTTGAGGTTGCAAATTTGGACTTGGCTGGGTTCATCGAGGCGCTCACGGTTTGCGTGAGCACGCGGCGAGTGGAGCTCCTCGAACTGGTATCGCAGAGGTAGAGCACAAAGCACTCTCGAGCAGTGTGCTATTGAAGCAAACGATGGAGAGTGCACCACCAGTTTTACCACGAGGAAGCCGGCTTGCAACAAGGGAGCACCAGGAAATTTGAGCTCCAGTGCGATGAATGGATTTGTCAACATGATTCGCGCTATCTTTGCGTTCATAGGAGCATTGCATTCGTAGAGGCTGGCAGCCACTTCATAGCCCTCAGCACTGCCCCCAGCACAGCCCCACATGATTGCAACTGTCATTTGTCGTCGAAGGGGACCTCGAACCCCTGCGTGAGGCCAATGCGGCGCGCTCGGTAAAGATCTATGTCGTGAACTTGAGCGGAGCTGCATGGTCTCTTGAGGTCGGGAGGAACGCCAGCGATGCAAGCGGCATCGGCGATTGGAGATCTCGGAGCCTTCGGGTACGTCGCCGCACGAAATCGAGCTCACGCGCTTCAAGATGGAGCACTACAAACTCAAGCAGCTGGCGGCCGAGGCCGAAATGACACTCGAGAAGGGCAAGGAGCGCGCGGTCGCCGCTCGTGGCGGCATTGAGACGCTCATCTCGAACCGCGACGTGCTGTTGCCGCAGGCGTGGTGGCGCATGGTATGTGCGCACCTCGCGTCGCCCATCACTGAGAAGGAGGCATTTGACCTCAAGCAGCTGCGCGTCGTGGCTTCCATGTGCGAACCGTACAAGGCGACGTTCACCTCGGTGGCGCTCATGCAAAATGCGCTCGTGGCGATTCCGTGGACGGTGGAGGCCGTCTCGCTGCTGCACGGCCACCCCAAGCCGGCGTACGAAGGTCTCGACCGCGTGCTCAGCGAGAGCTCGCACGATCCCAATGCGCTCTCTGCCCTCCGTGGCGTCCTCACGCGCATGGACGCGTGGGTCTCCAAGACCAAGAAGTTTGCGGCCAAGCTCGAGAATACGGGCAAAAAGCTCGAGAACGCCAAGATCCAAGTCGTCCTCAACGAGTACATGAAGCTGCCGCTCACGTGTCCGTGGGGCGCGCGGCTGCAGTCGTTCATGGCCGGCGTAGCCAAGTGGGAGGCGTCGGGCGCGACGCCTGTGCTCATGCCGACGCACTCGATCACGCTCGAACTCGATCACGCTGCCGAGCTCCCCGGTCGCGACGGCACCGAAACGCAAGGGTAAGCCCAGCAGTGGGTCCAATCCCAAGCGCGTCAAGAGCGAAGACGACGTCTCGAAGCGGTCCAAGGCCAAGGCCGCCAAGGCCAAAAAGGCTGAGAGCGCCAAGTGCGGCGACGACGATGCACATATGAACGACGTGGCCGAAGCGCCGCCTCCGCCACCGAGCGCGAGACCTGCCGGGCCTCGTGCACCTTCTTGGCCCCGTCGGCAGCGTTGGGCCCATGGCCAATTTGAGGCGGTGGCACATGGAGCACGGGCCGGCAGCTGCCTTCGGTCCTATGACGCTCTTCCCGT